AAATAGGCCTACGGAACATCGCGTACGCCGTGTCGCCATATAAAATCAAAGTCTCGGGCGGCGAGGCCCGAGTGGTCTCGCGCGCGGCCTATTCGTAAACTTAATTTAGGATAACAAGAAAAGTATTAACATTAGAAAATTGTACCAAGTTTCAAAAACTTTTTCAATATTTTTACTTTATTTCATACGCAGATACTATGTAAAAATTCCTTCAAATAAAAAAGTTTCTCGCTTACTGAAAATCATGATACAATAAAGTTAATGTTTGAAGTTTAATCCATTTTCCAAAAAAAATACACTCATTATGGAATTTTAATTACCTCAGCTATCACCGCCTATGTGTTCTCAATCGATTAAAAAAAGAGTTTGTGAATAAGTTGATTAGTTTAGGAGTTATCGCGTAGGAAAGATAAAAAAACATGGTTATACATTTTTGACATTTTGCTAGTTAAAAAATTTCTGACACCCCCAAAAAGGTCGTAATTAGTTATTTCACATGCACAAAGGCCTAACTGATAATCCTGTATAGATATCATGTAGTTATACCTCCAAAAAAATTTTTGACACATTTTGATATCGTTTTTACTCGACTGAAATAATATGGGAAATATTCAGATGTGATTTACACCGAATGCGTCCGACCAAAAATCAGGCGGTGGGGGATCGTGAACGGACCGCCTTCCACAGCACACCCGCTCTACCCGACCCCTGAGACCGACCCGAGCGGTGTAGCGCAAATGGACTCTTAATCAGCAATTAAATGCTTAATAAATTTTATTTATGTTAATTTATGAATACAAACCTATATACATGGACCAGCAACAGTGTGTTGGGCATCTGTAGCTCCTAGAATAAAAGACTTTGGAAATTTGTGTGAAATTGTTTGGAAATAAAGTGCAAATTTAAAGTATTTACAGAAAAATATTTTAACTTCTACATAGTGTTTTAAAAAAGTGTAAGTGGATTGAGATAATTTTTTTTAAATTAACCTTCCTGTGTTTTATTGCATTTTTAGCTCTCTTCTAATAACGTTTAATAATCCTAATATATTATTGAGATAGGATGAGATATTTAATAAATCAATAGAAAATATGATTTCAGTCCTTTTTAAAAAATTATTATAAGTACAAGAAATATCTATCAACTGTATACTAGACATTATTATTATAGTTAGTCTTACTTTGTATACTTTTTTTACTACATATAGTCTTAGATCAAACAGGATGTTCAAAATTTTACGGCAAACTTTCTAAAATATAAAATAATTTATTTTTGTTTTTCAAATGGTATATTATACTTTTGTTAGATTTAAAATTATTGATTATTGAACGATTTTTTGAATTTAAAGAATTTCAATTTTTTACGGTTTCAGAGATATTCGCGGTATTATATTACATATAGCAAAAGTATTTTTTTATCTAAGTTACCTAATGGTTTTTGTCTGGTAACCGTTAAAAAATTAAAATACTTTAAATATTAATTATTATAATAATAAAATATTATTTTTTAATTTCCCATTAAACATATATAGGGTATTCCATTTAAAAACACGAAGACAATTTATTTTATATTTTAGAAAATTTGTAAGCATTTTAGAATACCCTGTATAATTTAAGATTACAATTATTTATAATAAAGTATGTACAGACAAGTAGGGTACCAGTATAATATGTACCTGGCATAGTTTTTGTTTCAAGACACATCGTATATTTTTTTTAAAGACTGAATTTTTATTTCCTTTATTTATTTATATCTCTGAAATTATAAAAACAGATTTAATATTATCCTAGGAGTGGAAAGTAAAGAAAAACAAAGTCAAAAATACAATAACATAGAGGATATTTCGTTTAAAAGCAATATCGTTCAAATCAAATGATACTTTTTTGAGCCACCCTGTAGTGGTTAAAATACTTTCCAGAAATAGGCCATACATACACATACTTTAGGTATGCATCTCGGTATGCACCTAAACAAAATTCTTAAGGTCTTTTTTATAGAACCTACAAATGCTCGGCAGACTGGTAACTTCTATAGTCTAACGAGTCTTAAATAAGTGCAAATTTTTCAAACGTATAATTTCTTAATTTCTGATATTACCATGATTGCGGGTTTACTCTATGATGGTTACGGCACTAAAAGGGATGAAAAGAGAACAAAAATCCGGTGGCCCTCAAAATTAAAAAAAATAATTATGACTTATTTCTTTTAGCAAAATAAAAACACTAAATCACCACAATACACCAAAAACACTTTTACTTTTACACTGGACGCGCGTTTTGCTAACCATCATCAGCAGATGATTATAAACTGGAGTAACACCAAAGGTTCCAACCCACAACTGTAATTTATTTCTTTTAAACTAATTATTTTTTTTCAGGGTTGGAAAATATCATAATTTTTTTAAAAAAATCAAAAAAATCAGATTTATTTGATTTAAATCAGATTTTTTGATTTAAATCAGATTTTTTTGATTTTAATTCAAAACAATATCTAAATCGGATTTCCAAATTACTAGGACTTATTTCCAATTAAAGCCCTATCCTGAATGGCTAAATCTTTATAACTCTGCCCGTTATCAATAACATTAATAATTCTAGGGTGCGTTTGTCATTTTTCCACATCGGTCACCAATAGGTATATTTCGCAAAAAAATCGCTCGCTTCAGATCAAAAGGATTTTTTTTCAAACGTCTCAAAAGTATTAATTTTTGTCATTTTAACGCCTAGGTATAAAAGTAAAGCACTGTTACGCCTAAGCAGAAATTTAAATGACAAAAATTAATACTTTTGAGACGTTTGAAAAAAAAATTCTTTTGATCTGAAGCGAGCGATTTAAGTTACGCTTAAGCAGAAAAGTACAAAAATATATTATTAAACTGATATTAAGTGTCAAATTCAACGAGTGTACAAATTGTTGCTCGATTACTGTTTATATTATTTGCAATGTTTGAAATTGATTAAAAATGATTTGTAATGTTTTAAAAAAATAGTATGTATGTTTTATTAGGAGTAAAAATGTACTTTTTTTCTTCCTTGTAACGTCGGAATAGCTTTACGATGGTCCTTCAAAGGTACAGCATCATCAAAAAAAGAATAATTTTTACTCCTAATAAAACAATACATTATTGTTCGGAAATACTCTTAAGTTGAGACTGAAATTAGTATTAGTCAAAGTGTAAAATACTCACTGCAGATCAAAATGTCGGTAAGAATTTGGAAAAATACAACCATTTCAAAAAATATATAAAACAACATATTTCCTGACAACGATTATTATTATAGATTCTCGGGAATGAAGATATAGGTATAGTTTCTATATCAGAAGAACCTAGTTCTGCACTAGACTGCAAATGATATGTATTCGAATAGCGAATTTTTGTCACTTATACCCTCTTATACATAAATTTTAAAATAAATCCCTGCGTTTAGCGGTCTAATGGATTCACACGAAATTACTTCAAATATCGGTCCAACATTTAAATTGATGAATAGATATTTTTATATAGTTTTATAACATTTTTATAGTTTTCTAGGACACCTTTTTATAACTTTTATAGTTATTTTTTGATTTATAATAAAGTTTTAATAAAATTATTTTTTTTTATTTAAATCAATGCTTAAAATTAAAAGAATCAGTTGATTTAAATCATGCCAAACCTGTTTTTTTTAATTTTCAAAATTAAATAACTCGATTATTTTGGGCTTATTTGAAAAACGGTAAAGAGGAAATATGTTTCTTATTTCGAGATCTTCCAACCCTGAAAATATTTGCGCTTATTTAAGATTCACCCTGTATATATGCTTGTTCGTTACTCCGAAAATTACGTTAAGTAATAGCAGGTTTTCATAAAATATTTTAAAATTTTAAATTAACTTATTTCGTTATAGTCTAAGAGCTGGCTACATAAAAAACCTTATCATCGTTACATGGCTAATTTTTCTTGTGAAGTATCCTTATGTGTAGCCATTATGAAATAGTCATGTCTGCTAGCGCGATCCCGGGGCTTAAAGCGGGGGCGGCCCATCAAAAGGTTGAAATTTTGACACTAAAAATATTATAAGGTACACGAGTTATAATTGCAAAAATAGATTTTATTTATCATTAAGGAACGTGAAAAATTGTTGGCAGACATTCTTCTGGTCGCTAAAATGCCTGCAGACAACGCGAAAGAGGCATGAAATTTTGGAAAAAAAATTATTGCTCACATGCATGCCGATTTGTGGAATGTCATATTTATTTATTTTAAAAGCCGTATGCAAAAGGGCAGTCAAAAACATTGTGTCTAAATCAGCGGCAGACAGTTATCAAAAGCGCGATATTACTCTAGCGCCTTGAAAATCGCGCATTTTTTATTTTAAAATATATTTCTTTTGTCGAGATACCTACCAGCCCTGGAAATATTTGCACTTATTCAAGCCTCACCCTGTAGAGTAATATTGCGCTTCTGATGTCTACCGCTGATTGAGCCACGATTTGTTTTGTTTACCCTTTTGCATACAGCTTTTTAAATAAATAAATATGACATTCCACCAATCGGCATGCATGTATGTGATTATTTTTTTTGTCAAAATTTCATGCCTCTTTCCTGTTGTCTGCAGGCATTTTAGCTACGAGAAAAATGTCTGCCAATAATTTTCCACGTTTCTTAATAATAAATAAAAGCTACTTTCGCAATTATAACTCGTGTACCTTATAATATTTTTAGTGTCAAAATTTCACCCTTTTGATTGCCTGCCCCCGCTTTAAGCACCGGGATCGCGCTGGCAGACATGATTATTTCATAATGCCTACAGAAAACGATACTTCACAAGAAAAATTAGCCATGTAACGATGATAAGGTTTTTTATGTAGCCAGCTCTCCGTCTATTATACGTACTAGATGAAGTAGATGAACCGCAATCATATTTTCTACTGTATTTGTAACCCTCTTATAATTTCGAATAACTAAAAATTAAACGTATCTGTCAATTTCGAAATATTTCGAAAACATTTTTTTGCAGTTTTGTTACTGCTGTGGAACTATTAGGAAATCCCGCAGAAATGTATATCAATGGAACGCAATTTTGGATAATATGCTTGGCTTTTATATTAGTTGTACCTGTTACCTCAAAACTTTACCTTCCAGTATTTATGACTTTGCGACTGACCAGCTCATACGAGTATCTCTCTAAAAGGTACGTCAACTAGTTTACACTCATATGGGTATAGTATTTAATTTTGCCAGAGCTTTTCTGAGGGGGCTTTGAAATGGTATCAAAAACAAATTAAGCTTGATTTTCATGCATCCGTTATCCGACGATACGTTGATACGATATTAATTTTATTGGTTGAATTTAATGATTTTGATTGGTTAGAAACGGTTAACCAATCGAAGCCTTTAAATTCAACCAATAAAATTATTATCGTATCATCGTATCGTCGGACAACGGATGCATGAAAATTAAGCTTTACACGTATAAAAATAGAAATGAGTTAAGCTTTGCTTCGAGCTTTGCTGTAAAAATAAATTATTCCTAATCAATTGTGTATTACGAATTGTGTGTTACTTAGGGTTAGGGTTAGGCTTAAAAGAAACTAATATACTTGATATAGGGTGGTGACAATTTCGATGCTCAACATTGGCATCTCAGAAACTACGAGAGATACGAATTCGGTTAAATGGGACAAAAATTAGAAGTTTGACAAACACCTATAAAGAAACCCCCGGTATCTTGATTAGTTTCGGATTTATGTCAAAAAAATGAAAATAATACGTTTATTTTAAATGACAATATCTTCAGAACTATTGTATCTGTTGCATCGTAAGTTGGTAATTTTATATTTTTGATTTTGGACAATTAATTAAATGCCGTTTTCAGAAAATTTCTCAGCCTTCTAGATTTCGCACAACAACAGTCAAATTTTTGTTTTCTTATGGCCGCCATTTTGAATTTTTATACTGTTAGATAGAGCAAAAAATAATCCTTACGGTGGTATCTAATTTTTATTCGATATTATGAAAATTCACTAAAAAAATTGGATTTTTTAAAAATTAGCTCAAAAGATCAAGTCTGCCTTAGAAATTCCATTGACACTTTATATGACAGCAAGTTAATTTTTGTTTACACTATCAAGTATCAAATCTGGACACAAAAATTTATAATAGATAGTGTAAAATGTGTTAACAGTCAACAATATATGTATAAGTGAGGAAACACGAGATGTGTATGATACTTAAGAAATAATAGAAATTCCGATCTAGCATGCGCAATTTATAGAACATTTATAGAAGGATTTCAAGAAATTTAGCAGTTGCTGGTAGCTTTAAAGAACAAGATAGTAATATTTTAAAAGGCTTAATGATGCTAATATGCCAGCTCAGATTTAAATAAGTCCGGAAACTCCTAGCCGTAAAATAAGTCGCGAATGTTGTATAAGTGATTCTTATGTAGGGAAAATTATCAAAAAAAAACATAAATATCACAACTTTAAATTTAAATGTGTAATACAATTTCTTGTATTGACCTGTATTGAACTCTGCTATACAATTTTTGTGCGTCCAGATTTGACACTTAATAGAATAAACAAAAAATAACTTGGATTTCCAAGGCAGACTTGATCTTTTGAGCTAATTTTTAAAAAATCAATTTTTTTAGTGAATTTTCATAATAATGAATAAAAATTAGATACCACCGTATAGACTTTTTTTCGCTCTATCTAATAGTATATAAATTCAAAATGGCGGCCATTAGAAAACAAAAATTTGACTGTTGTAGTACGAAATCGAGAAGGCTTAGAAATTTTCTGAAAACGGCATTTAATTGGCCGAGGTAAAAAATATAAAACTACCAAGTTATTGAAGATATTGTCATTTAAAATAAACGTATTATTTTCATTTTTTTTTGGCATAAATCCGAAACTAATCAAGATTACCGGGGTTTTCTTCATAGGTGTGCGTCAAACTTTTAATTACGCAACTTTTGTTCCATTTAACCGAATTCGTATCTTTCGTAGTTTCTGAAATGCCAATGTTGAGCATCGAAATTGTCACCTTCGAACCTACTATTACACTACTTACGTTTTATTCACAGATTTTTCAGTTTTTTGGCTCAGATTATTGTTTTTAGTTTTCAGATTATTGTTGAGTATTCTTTTCACAACTTGGAAGTAGTAGCTAATATCTAAATATGTATAGATTTTGAAGAGAATTTAAGTATATAGAGGAAAAAGGCTCCAGTAGGCTTAGAAATGATCATTGATGACATTCCTCATATAATTTTACATATGAAATGACAGCGTTCTTCATTTCATAGCCATCACTGACCCCGTTTTTTTATAATATTGTACAATGCCACAAAAATAAAGCCCGCATATGATGTTAATACATATTTACTTACTTAGGTTTGATTTTAGCGTTAGTTTTTATGCTCGTTGGATTAAAAATGGCATAAAAAATAATCTGTTACTTTTGGGTATCTGTCTTGGTAGAAAAAAATCTTGAAAGTTTTTTTTTATTTTATGATTTTAATTATTTATCTTTTTTGCTTTTCTTCTGTATTTGTTTATTTTATGCTCTGTTTAATCGAAAATAACTTTTGCTTGTTCTTTTGTCAGTCAGATACTTATGTAGTGATTGTAGTGGTCATTTGTTTATTTTGATTCAAAATTCAATCAATATTTTCAATCAAAAGTTTTTAGAAAAACATAAATTTAAGTTGTCGAAAATTTGCCTCTCATCATATGCAATGTAAGAACTAAATGTATACCGGGTGCGTCTCAAAAGTGGCACACCCTTATAACTTTTTTATTTTTTCAGTAAAAAAATCGAGATTTGGTATGTTAGTATATGACATAAATTAGGATTGATTGACATATTCAGTTGTTTTTGGTCACTTTCTGTTTTACCGGAAATGACTACAACTTTTGATTTTTAAATTGCATTCTCGGTAATTTTTTACTTTTTTGAATAGAAAATGACACTATGAATAGAATGACATGTCACCTTTTGACATTTTTGCATATGGTTTATTTTAAATTATAACTTGCGGTTCGTAATGAAAATTTGACTCGAAATACCAAGTGTGTGATATCAAATTATTCGTAAAAAATCCTTTTTCCAAATATGTTAACGAGCCACCCTCGTTCCATTTGAGAAAATTGAGATATTATTAAAAATACGATTTAAGCATTTTCTATCTGGCCAGGACAAGACATTAGAGATCAAATCTATTTTTCCAGGACTTCTTGATTAAGAATTAGTGTTTTTAACATAGCCATGGCACTCTAGATTAAATTTTAAAATTCGATTTTTTATTAAGCAAGAATGTCAAAAGCTGACATATGGTATGTCATTCTATTTAGGATGTCTAAGTAAAAAAAAACCGATGGTGCTATTTAAAAATCAAAAGTTGTAGTCATTTCCGGTGAAACAGGAAGTGAACAAAAACAATTGAATATGTCAATCAATCCTAATTTATATCATATACTAACATACCAAATGTATTTTTTTTATCTGAAAAAATAAAAAAGTTATAGGGGTGAGCCACTTTTGAGGCGCACACGCACATACCCGTATAGATTAGATACCCTAGTGCAATATGATATTTTTTATGTTACTTTTAATGCCAGTTTGTTATGTATTATTTATTTATTTCCATCTTTAATAGAAAATTATTTTCAGATTTAATCCGTCCACTAGATACTTGGCTAGTTGGTTGTACATTTTTCAAATGGTATTATATACAAGTGTAGCCGTTTATGCTCCAGCTTTAGCATTGAGTAAAGGTATTTACAAGTACAGTAGATTGCTTATTTTGATAATTTTGATCATTTGATCATTCCTCTAAATTTAATCTACCGCCGCACGCCGCTGCCATATTATCGAGATCAGAGTCATAGGGTGGCGCACCCCATTCGCCTCGGTTGATTATACGAAAAATGATAGAGGAACAAAATATTCTATGGGTATATGTGGAAAGGCAATGTGCTTAATTTAAAATTATTTTGTAATGTACAAGACATGTCCTCGAGTATGTCAGAACTAACATCTACACCAAGCTATATTTTTTCTTGGGGAACACACGGTATTTTATTTCATTTTTGGATCCTTGAACATAAAATAAGGCATTTATTATAAAGGCTAAATATTTTTAGAAACTTTGGTTTTTGAGATATTTAAAGGTATTTAAATATGCATATTATAATAAAGAAATGTCAATACTCTGTACACTGCTTTTCAGAATTAGTTCTTGCGCTGACTTTTAAGCCAGGGATATAAACTTTACTGAAAATTTTGATTGCTTTGTTTAATGTATACAGGGGTATCAAAAATTACTGGCCTGTTTTAAATATATATTTTATGCAAAAGAAAATGAATGTAAAATAGATCAGCAATAATTATTGGTACACCTTTAAAATTTAAGGAAGCAATAAAATGTTTCAGTAAAGTTTATTTCTCCACCTTTAAACCCAACAATTAATTTTGAAGAATAATGTACAGGGTGTTGATAATTTATTCTATTCTAGTATCATAGTTTAAGGAAAAGAGTAGTTGCACTCTCGCAAATATTTTCTGCCAGTTTTTGCAATCTGTCGAACATCGGCAGATTGCAAAGCGTTTCAGTTGAATTCCGTCCGTCGAGCTGCGAGGTTCGAGCGTTGCGTCCCAGCACAGAGACGGATTGACAAAAAATGAGTGCCTTACTGTGTGTGTGCTGCTATTAATTGTAGTAATAATTCAAAAAATTGTTCTTTGAGTTTTTTTAGATTCCCATCGGATGTAAATCGGCAAGCTGATAGTAATTATCAATAAACATTTCATTATATTTGTTTATTTTAGAAGCTGATATATTATGTAATTATAAAAATAGTCTTTTAGATATACAGTTTGTCTCAAATATGCGCATGAAAATATTTTTTGGTCAGGGGATTTGCCATAAAATTTTCATTCCAATAATAATTTTTGAGATAATTTATATAGATTGGTTTTTGAAACAATTTTAGAGTAAATATTTTGTACATCTAAAGTCTCCGCAAATTATTCATATTTTTTAATTGAAGGAATTTTATAATGGCATAATCTCTTACAAATTTAGTGGACTGTATTTTTTTTATTTTATTTATTTTTTATTATAAGTGGTCGTAATACAACAATATTCAAAATATTATAGACAAAATAATGAGTTTATATTTGAGGGAAGAAAAGTGCCACACCTAGCTTTAAACTACCGTAAATATACAGGGTGGCCCATTAGTGCGAGATGTGAAAAAAGTTTTATTCATATGTTTCAAGGTTTATAAAGGGGCGTATCCTAAAATATTTTGTTATATACAGGGTGTCACAAAAAAGTTATGGTAAAGTTAGTTTTATTATTTTTAATTATTTTACATCATTCTATACCTATACATTATTCTCTATAGGATATTTTTTATGGCGTCACCAAAATAGGAATATTTAAAATGGTATATCTCAATTTTTTTAAATGCAACATTCTGTATATTATTTTTCTGTCAGATGCAGAATTAAAAAGTGAACATTTTTTTATTTAAAGTATTTCTAAATTTTTAACGGTTTCGCAGATATTCGCAGTATTATATTACATATGGCTCTTACAACAGTAAATTTTTATCAAAGCCACCTAATATGATCTTTGTCTGATATTTTATCGTTGAAAATCCCATATGTAATGAAATACAGAAAATGTCTGCAAAACAGCTAAAAATTTAAGAATACTTTAAATACAAAAAATGTTCACCTTTTAATTCTACACCTGAAAGAAAAATAATATACAAGGAGTTGTTGCATTAAAAAAAAATGAGATACATTTTAAATATTACAATTTTGGTGACGCCATAAAATATACCCTGTATACGATAAAGTAAATTTTTCTACACGAATTTATTATGGTATCCATCATGTTTAAGAAAACATAGGTAAGTATTAATAAAGTTATATTCACTCTAGGTTTTTACCACTTTTCGTATACAGGGTGTCTCAGATTTTAATCGGGAAAATTTAATAGACATAGAACTTGCAAAAATAAAACAAAAAGTTCATATCAACTTGTAAGATTTAAAGCTTCCTTTTCGAGATACAGGGTGTTAAAGTTACTTAAAAAAGAAAAAAAAATTAAGATATTTGAAAAACAATTTTATCGATTTTGATATAACTTGACCCGTTTATAATACTTACTATGGGACTTAATTTGAGGTAATTAGATTTAAGTTTAATGGCCAGGGGCGGCGGTGGGGCATCACTATTAAATTATATTAAAAGGAGGAAAAATAGCACGCCACTGCTTTTTTAGAAGTTTAATATTATTTTTGAATTTAGTAATTAAAAATATTATTTTTTTGTCCCCAGACTTTTTTGTCTATCTTGCTTACTTCTTGCGAAAAAAATTAAATTCATTTATTCACTCCACCCTGGAGTGTTTTTTCGCAAGAAGTAAGCAAGATAGACAAAAAAGGCAGGAGACAAAAAAATAATATTTTTAATTACTAAATCCAAAAATAATATTAAGCTTCTAAAAAAGCAGTGGCGTGCCTATTTTTTCCTTTAAAATAATTTAACAGTGATGCCCCACCGCCGCCCCTGGCCATTAAACTAAAATCTAATTACCTCAAATTAAGTTCCATAGTAAGTATTATAAACGGGTCAAGTTATATCAAAATCGATTAAATAGTTTTTCAAATATCTTAATTTTTTTTTCTTTTTTAAGTAACTTTAACACCCTGTAGTTACAGTGGCAACACCGCAGTGTGCTTTAAATAGAAACAGTGTACTATATGCAGAATTTTATGCCGAATTCAGTTATCTACAGAAAATTAAACTTTTTTTAAATCAAAAAAAAGTTGTAGAAAATCTCTGAAATAGATAATAATATAAAAATATGTCATTATATATTTTTTCCGCATTTCTTCCCATCAAAAGATTTTCAGATACAGAAGAATTTTTACCTACACGAAATATGAAAATATTCTATTTTCAAGCAAGTTTTTACTCGATGATCAATTTTTTTTATTTTATTTTATTGTGAACTCATATTTTCCTAAATACATATATGTGAAACTATGGCGAGTGCCCGGACTATACTTTGCCTAGTTAATAGACCACGTATACAGCTACGTCAGTGGTCACGGGAGGCGAGAACAAGGTCATATAAAGTGGCAGAAAAAGAACAAAGGATTTGACAAGGAGTAAAGCTACTAGTTTCCTTATACTATGGTAGCATGCATATTTAAATATCTCAAAAATTGAAGATTTTAAACATATTTAACCCTAATATTAACCTGTTTTTGGGTCGACATTTGTACCCCACATATGCCCATAAAATATTTTGTTTCTACATCTTTCCGTTTTCGTATATATGAAGAATACGTTTTTTACTAAAAATTAAAAATAATCCAAGAAACAATCCTAAAAATACAATGTTTTTTTCGCGAAAATAACCTCATCGAGGGGTGTCTCACTTTTGGAATTACATGTCCAATTTCTTGGCAGTTGCTGGCATTCGTTGGCATCAGTTACGGCAGGCGACTGTACTTATATGGCAGACATAGACAAGGTCTTCTTTGCAGACACTGGCAGTCGCTTGGTAGTAAAATTATATTTTGGCAGTACATGTAGGTACATTTTTTACCCAAGTGAGACACCCTTTGAGCCTCATAGACATGTTGTTGAGATCGAAATATACCACCCCTAAAAATATTTGCATTTATTTAAGACTCACCTTGTATAAAAACCTTAAATGTTTAATAAAAGTCACAGGTTGGTCTTAATAAAGACAGGGGTTGGTCTGACAAAATCATTTATTTAAAGGCCATTGTGACACAGTTTTTTTGGACACAGAAACTTTAGTCATAGTGTTCTTAGTAACACTCTTATATCTTTAGGTAAAACTTGTATTTTCATAATAGCGTATTTCGTAAATAATAGCGTTGATTGAAAAAATTGTGTTGTTTTTGATTTGGTTTTATCTTCAATCAATGATAACATTTTAATGAATAATACATTGTCTGTGAATAATATAATATTATTGTCTTGTTTATTTAAAGGCACACTCTCACGACTCGTCTACTTGGCAAGTACGCCAATTGCTGTCCTCCATTCGCGAACTTCAAGTTTCAATGCTTTACGCCCTGGGCTACTTGAGAACGGTTCTGAAAGGAGCTGTGCGCAATAGCCTAGTGCCTTCATATGGCGCGGAACAGTTCTGAACTTTATGACTCAATTGAATGGAGTGAAAGTATCGCGTTCTTGAACAGTTCAGAGCTGCACAACTGCGTGAAAGGAGGAAAGCAAATACTGGCGTATGTGGCAAGTATCCCCACCATCCCCACTTTGTAAACAACAGAAGTGTCTAGCCCTAGCAGTCAACTATTAAGCTTGACCAATCAAGTTGGTTAGCATGGTTATTTGAATGGTGTTAATTCATTTGTGTTTGTCACAAACTCTAACGTGATTGGTCGGGCTTAATAGTTGCCTGCTAGGGCTAGACACAAGTGTAAACAACATTGGCAAGTGAGGCGCTCACACGATCTGTCCATTTAAACAAGTACGCCAGCACAAACATTGATTCTTGAAGTAAACAGTATAGTCGTATCCGTGGATACCGGTCGTCCCGAAATTGTCGTTGCTAGTGATTTGTTTTTAAGTTCTTTCACTGTATACTGCAATACGATTTCTATGTTCTTTATGTTTGGCCATCCATAGAAAGGGCTTATTTTCGTATAGATTGATAACTTCCAAAACAACATCATTTGAAAACTACACGGGAAAACCCAACTTTGTCCATTTCAATTGGAGCCGAGAAAAATGCAATTTCGTGTTAGGAATTAAAAAATATGATATTTTCGTTTGAATGAATAGAAAAATATATACCTATTACTACCAATTCTGAATTATTAATATTCCCAAGCAGCATTTGGACGTCGGGACAACGTTGTGTCACGCGACCAAACGTCGGGGCGCAACGTCGGCACAACCTCGTGCCAGCCCTAGTCTGCACTAGTTTGGGGAATAATTTTTGGGTCAAAACGACGTTGGATACCTACGTTGGCTAGCAGCCTAATTTAGTACAAACTGCAACGTTGTTTAAAATCATAATTCACAAAAATACAAAATTATAATAATATGGCGTCTTAGTCGCGTTTTATCCTAAATTGGGATAATTATAGTAAAAATATTATTTTTATGATTTAGTTGATTTATGATGAGACACATATAAAGTGTGATGACAGTAAAGGAAAACAAAACAAAAGTATTTAGGTGTGGAGGATGTTTGAAGATCATAATTATTGAGACACTTTAACCAACTTCCGGTTCAAACCGTTCTCTGTAACTCTCTCGTTACCCAAGGCAAAAAAGTTAAACGCAAACAACTTTATTGATAAATGTATTGCTTCCACTTTGAAAAATACTAAAGGGCCTTAAAATTAAAAAAGTTTTAAAAAAAAATGAAATTTTTTTTAGTAAAATGAGAATAATTTATTCGCAGTCGAAAAAAAATTGTTTCCGCGTGTTATTTAGGGTCAAATATTTCAAGTTAATGTATTCAAAAAGCAGGAATTGCTATTTTAGGAACGAAACATTTTCTTATTCAACAACATGGCGGCTTTCACTTTGTTGTTTTGGAGATTAAGATAGAGTAGATCGAGTAGTCGCATACTGGACTAATAAAGTCGGAGTTCAGCCTTAACAGGTAGTATACTAGTCGCAAGATTGCCTAATTTAGACATCCTAGAGTCTAGCTTGTGCCGCCCTCTATATTCTAAATAAACGAGGGAGTGGATAAAGTATCGGTAATATGTCGATGTATATTTAAATTTAGTTTTATATGTGCTTTTCTTACGTCCCATTTTAATTAAGTTTTTTTTATAAAAACAAAAACAGCACTGAACTGACTGACTGAACAGAACAATGAAGTGAAAATTTAAGATTTAAGGTTATGGTTCAATACAGTTGCAAAAAGGTAGTGGCTCTACGTCCTACCAACGTAAGAATAAGGAAATCTAAACAACGTTGGAATTAGTAAAATAGACGACGGCGACGTTTGCATAACGTTGGAATAGGTCCTGAAAGTGACGTCGGAAAACTCTTTATTGCCCAACATTGTAACTACGTTGTCCGAATCACCTAAAGATCACTTAAGCAAAAAGGTTACAAGACAACGTTTATTCGACGTCGCAGAAGCTTTTACTTTGTTGTAGTACTAGTTCAATATCGGCACAACGTTACAACAACGTTTACATTTATTTTAATACCCAAGGTACGGAGCTAACTATTTCTTGTAATTAATCCAACGTTGTGTTTAGTAAACATGTGGTCGCAAGTCGTGAAAATGCTACTTGGGTTGTTAATTATCGCCATATTCTGAAATACCGAAATAAAAATGTCAAAATTCAAAACAAAACAGGAGAAAAACCAGGGATGTCCAATTAAAGGTTGTATAAAACCTAACCTAAACTATTATTTTTTTTGATGTAGGAAGAAAATTAATATTTAAGTAGGGTTTTATTAGAATACATAAATTTACCATATGTAATACTTATTGCAAGATGCATGCTTGTCGCCCATGTGTAAGGATATTTCTGGTTTTTGCCATTTACGCGTGGACTACTCTGATTTTTCATTGTATTATTGCTTTCTTTTTTCTCGAATGACGCTAACATTTGCCTATAAAGTTGTCTCGCTATCTTAATTTCTATAAAAATATGACATATCTGGTTTTCCCGTGCAGTCTTTATTTGTCCACCTCATTTATGGCTGAAGTAACGATTTAGGTATATCGCGAATATTGAAGTTATTAAGGTAAATTTGATATTATACAATCTATTATTTCCTTAACGTTTTAAATTATCCGCAATTAACTCAAAAAATACTACGATCCGGAAATAAACAGGACATAAGCTATAACAGTACAATTATTTGCGCAGTCGTTTGAGCGCTTCGGCAAGTATAATCAGGGCTGGCCCAGGCTACACTTGGCAAGTGTACGAATAATTGTGATCCTTTTGACTCGGGCTATGTTTACCGACAAACCAAACCAAACGCGACGAGTGACCAAGGAACCCGTTCTCACGACATGGCAAGTATATACCAATAACAAATGTTTGTCAAGTACACGAGTCGTGAAAATGCGCCTTAACGAAAAGTACCCGAATGAAGACGAATAAAATAAAATTTGATAACTGAAAACTATTTGTAATAGAAACCTAATTTGACTGAGTTATGAAATACAATTTAAATAATTATTATTCCTAATGTTTACAACAGTTGTGTTTGATATTTCCTAATATATTTTTTTTTATTTTAGTTACTGGACTTAACGTTTATATAGCTGTTAGTGTTGTTTATATAGTCTGCATCTTTTATGCATCTCAGGTAAGCATTAATTAAAAACAAGATTATCTAACTTATAATAACACAGCATGTTCAATATTCAGCTGGATTTCTTTACCCATATTTTAAAACTTGTGCCTTACCTGAAGCGCTAATATCTCTTTTGACTTTGACGTTTAATTTTCGTAATTATTGTCTTCTAAAAAAATATTAAACCGAGACAGTTTCTGTAAACAGTAATCAATAGGCATGTACGCACATTTTCGCTTAAAAGTAAAAACACTACAAGGTATTTACCTTGGATATACCTACCCTATACCCGGGAACTTTTTAATAGGTATATTTTCACACATTTGATAAGTTGAATATCGAATATGTTTATAGTGATTCCAATATAACATTATCATTTGCCTCTGGTTTAAATATTTTATAAGTGTTCATTATAAAGTAGCAACAATTATATTTTTTGGGTAATTACCGATAAATTGGACTTTATCAAAATTTAGTTATTATAACAGTTTTACATTATTATGTAAAGTCTGCTCAAGGCAAAGTTATAGTCTGTCCAACGAGCCAGGGAATATTTTGATAGACTACATCCAAAAAATATCAGAAAATACAATTTAATCGTGAATTAAAATGACAGACTTAACCTTCACTGTCATGAACTTTTTCATTGGACAGACTAGACAATGAGCAGGTAATGTGTATTTTCCGTCATGCATATTTTAGATGTCATCTGTCGATATCTCCCTTAAAGTGTTAGGTAGTAGAGATGAGCAAAACTGCGTTTCTCCAATCGCAATTGAAACTGCGATTGCGACTTTTAAATAGTGTACTAGGTATAAAATTGTCTGTGTTTGTACCTATAGCTTAACAATTAAAAAAAGTTAATAAAAATCAGTTGTTTAGTTTTTAAGTTTTTTTAATATTTGCAACACATAGTATAGGCATTAAAACTTTATAATATGGTTCAACTACACATATTAATACCTACTGTTTCTACATTTCTCAGTTATCTAATTCTTTATCAAATTCTTATATAAAAGATCTTTTAAAAAGTTAAAAGCACTTATATTATATTAAAAATAGAATAGGTTACTGATTACCGGTATCATAATATACCGTAGAGCCCAATAGCGTTATAATCAAAAGGACTTTGAAACCACAAACTTTGTCAGTTAAAAAAATAATACAATTTATATATGAATTAGTATACCTAGCGTCATACAAAGTTTGATTATAAAGCTTTTTAATAATACTGTAATATTTTTAGTCACATGGAATCTTTAGCTTGGAATTATTTTAGGGCGGCATGAAGGCGGTGATTATAGCTGATACCTTCCAAGCAGGTGTACTTATAGGATCACTTATTCTGATCGCTTATTTAGGGGAAAAACTTGTTGGTGGTACTGGTGTAGTTTGGTCTGAAAGTTATAATGCTGATAAGTTAGAAATATTTAAGTACGTATTAATTAGCTTTAATGTTTTCAATATTGTCTAATTAAGAGCAAAAGATACTGTATCAACCACAGACATTTTAAAATTCTTCAAAACTAAGAAACTATTTTTATTTGTTCATAACTCAACTGAATATGATTGTTTTATACTCTTTTATACATTCACCGGCACGAAAAACGGACACCCTAAAATTTTGATGTTAATATATTTTGTTCTACTGGGCGGATTTTGATGAAATTTTAAGCAATATGTAGTTAAATTATTTGACTTTTTAATATCTCTTAGTATCTCGTATATGAAAGTTTCCGTCTGTCAAAAGGGAAAATAAAATGTTGATATTTTGGTGAAAGTTTGAAGAACCCTATAAAACAGCAAACAGAATTTAAAAATTATTTATCATCTAGGTTCTCAATAGTTTGTTTTTTGGTTCATCTCAATAGCTTTATTTTTGTTGGAAATATTCGCTTTTGAAGAAGGCACTAGCATTTTTTCGTAATTTTTACTATAAAATCATGTCAAAGCAAAACCTTTGAAGGCGGGTAAAAGGACAATAACTCACAATCTTTAAGTTGTTTAATTTAAATTTTAATGCTTAAAAAAGCAAGGGGGCGACATGTTTCGGGAATTTAAACTATTCCCATCATCAGGCCCAAAGCTAAAACAATTACAGAGATCAAATTTATAAAATACAATCACAAGTTAAAAAGTCAAAAATTTTTTTACAAAGTCAAAAAATTATATTTATCACAAAAATTGTTCAATCACAGATAACAATATGGTATGCTAAATTTGAAAAATTAAAAACAACTAGACTAAAATCATAAGGTGAGGGGAGCCGTATAATCAACTATAATTAGATAAATTGAAAGAAAAAACAAGGCAATAATCAAATCATACCTCAATGCACAATTCAAAGAAATTTACTTAAGCATTAGTTAAATTTATTTTGAGAGATATATTTTTTATGTTTTTTTGGTATTAGTAATGTAAGTTGAGAATTAATTATTTCAATCTGTATATGCTGATATTCAATTTTGTAGGATAAATTTTTTAGTTATGTTAGTTAAGAACAAGTTAAGAATTATGTTTATTTTTTAATTAGTATATGCTGAATTTTAATTTATATTTCAAAGTTATATATTTTTAGAAAATTAATATTTACTTTAGAAATTTAATATTTATTTTAATTTATATATGTAGAAGAATTATTTTTTATTTTAATTTAATTAAACTTGTGTTCTTTAAAATAAAAGCATACTCACACAAAAGTCACCTAGGAAGTACAACCACTCGGAAGAAATAAAATTAGTTAGAGTTTTTAACATTTACACAACTCATTCATTGTAATTATAAATTGTATAACTCTTCAAGAAGGAAGCCTTTCGTTGTAATACCAAATAAATGTCTGTATCATAATCTCCATACCATCTTATTTCGATTTTATATTTTATTTTTTGACGAGAATGGGCGTTCGTCTTAAAATCATGTCTTTACTTTCGGTTCTAGTCAACAGACCTAGTAAGTTGTGGTCTCAAAGCAGGCCTTCTTGACATAAGATTTGCTTCATTTAATCTTCTTCAGACAGCCCTTTTACTTACATCTACATTCTTTAGGTGCAGTTCATTACAAATTTGAAAAGCTGACAAACGGCGCCGCGCCGGCGGTTTCTTAGCGATAAACTTACAATAAGTCGATTGTCTCGATTCGAAGTCTCCGTACTTATACGAAGGTTCCTGGACATCCAGCATATGAACTTGTCTCGAGGAAGTTGACTGATTTTTAAGAAGTTTTAAAAGTAAAATAATTTAGCTACAACTTTCTTAAAAGATCATCAAAATCTGTCCACTAGAACACAATATGTAACACTTTAAAATAAATCAAAATTTTAAGGTGTCCGTTTTTCGTGCTCGTTGAGTTTATTTTAAAGAAAACATTTTAAAAGAATTCCAAAATTATCTAAGTAATGTTAATTATGTTAAATACCTTATAAATTAATAGCATGTGAAAATAGTACTGAAAATACTTTTTTTAATTTGCGTTTATTTTATTTCAAATTTATATGTTACAATTATATGGACTATGGTACGGATTACAATATGGACAATTTTAAAATATACAATCGGGAATATATCTTAGAGAAAAAGTCTAACAGATCTCAAATACATCTTGAGGAATTAGAGCAGGAAAGAAATGGTATACTTTCTGATTCACCTCACCTCACTTCTCAGAAGGTAGCCCCCAGAATTTGTTTTAATACAAATTTATCTTTTGTGGAACATCTTTGAAAAGCTCATTGCTTTTTCTTTACTGTCTTATAGGATTTATAGAAAGAGGGCTAAAGTTTTAGTTCAATCTAAAACACACAAATATAGTTAATGTTAATATAGTTAATTACGCAACTAATACAAAATAGGCAGAGCTCGGAACTTTTCAGTTCGAGGTATATTTTGATGAAAAAACTTTCTCGGTTTTATTTCAGACACAAGCAGGCAGCACCTATTGTTATGTTTATATTTTCTTTTAATAATAATCATTCTCGAATAGTACCTATATAAAACAGTCCCACTCAGAAGAATTAAAAGAGGAAATTAAAAATAAAATACATTTAAGAATACCACAAAAAGAAAAACAAAAATGAGATATAAAAAAATTACTTGCATAAAAAAATTAAAATAAAAAACAAATACACAGGAGGAGAATTTTAAATGGTCCAACATTTGCTGCATGGATTGGGAATACCTTCAAAAACCCAATCAGATCTTAAATTAGTTCCTTATTGAATATTATGATTATTATTATTGATTTTGTAATAATTTCTTCTATGTCCGCTGTGATGTGTAGATCTCAGAATCTTAGGAATGAGGAATGATAGTGTATCGGAGAGGGAATGATAGTACAGGTTCATTAGCACAATGCAGAGATCTGCTTGTTGCCTGTCGTGCCAACCTGTTGAAATTAATCAATAATTAGATACTTGATTTACCTCTGCTACAAAATTACCCATGAACGACGTTTTAAATGCACAGTTTCTTGTCGTAAAAGAGTAGTTTTTTTTTGCTGTCACTAACCCATTAGGGTTCATTTTTTCTTTTTAACTTCTGACTTCTTCGAAGTTCTATTTAGCCAAATCAAAAAATATAGCAGAATAAACCATATAATTAAAAACAAGTTAATTGGCGACAGTTTATTATGGGGTAATGGCCCACTACTGATGTTGGAAATCAGATTATACTACTAATAGCCTGTTAATTTATAAAATAATAATTATACTTATCTTAAAAGTGACAAGATACGTGGTGTCTCAGGTTTGTTTCTGATTGAGGGTTGCGCCAGACAGGGGCGTAGATAGGTGTATGCTATGATGGGGGTGGTACTATGATTAAGCCGCAAAAAAAATCACCGTCGGAATTTTTTTGTCGAATTAAAACGACTGCGATTTTTTTGTCTTTAAAAAGATATAAAAACATAACACAAAAATTAAAATATAGATTTGTAAATAACATAAACAAAAATGAAACAACGACGTTTATTAGTTAATTTTCTATAAACTATAAAAAAAAAACTCTAAACTATCAAAAAAACTATAAAAACTATAAACTATAAATAAAACTACAAAACAAAATCAAGTTTTCTAGTACGCTGTTTGGAAAACCTATCAATAACAGCATCAACATTTATTTCAATATCTTTATGGATATTGATTAGAGTTAACCCCACTAATCTGTCCTGGCCAATAAGAACACTTTGTGTGCTTTTAATTAGGTCGAACATATTATAAACGATAAATCAACATAATTAAAAGCATACAAAGTGTTCTTATATGTCGGATTTTAATTTAAAAAAATCCTTTCATAGTCAATGACTATTTCAATTCTCGTATCTCGTCAAGCGTCAGGGGGGGGGTACTGTCCCCCAGTACCCCCCCCCCTTATCTACGCCCTTGGCGCCAGACCACAATATAAATGTGTGTATAAACCATTCTAGAGATGACCATTTTCATAGGCGTACTACTAATAAAAACATTTTTTTGTTTAAGAGCAAGTCAAAATTACAGGTTTTTAGAAATATCGCTTTGTTTTAAACATCATTTTTAAAAACTAATTCTACCTTTAATGTTTGAACGCATAATATTGTGGAACCAAGGATGAAAAAGAAACCAATGAACTCTTCAACTATGTGCTACACAGTTATTAAGTAAAATACGAACTAAAAACAGTTGAGATGTCTTCCATTTTAAGAATGTCGTGAGGTAAATCAAGAAGTGCTTCACTTTTGATTCCTCCACCGATCTCCCGCTATGTATTTGACATCTGTCTGATAGTATCTTTGTCTTAGATATGCGCGACTGATATGCGGTGTTCAAATTGTTACCATCTACTTGTATATTTTCAATGTTTTTTTTTAATAGCTTTAATGTAGATCCAACCATTCGGCATAGTTTTTGGTCGGTGGTTGTCGGTGGAACATTTTATTGGTTAACCATGTTCTGCTCGAACCAGGCCTCAATCCAAAAGTATATGTCAGTAGAAACCATCGGACAAGTCAGAAGGTAAGCTAAACTACAATACGAGCTACAATATAACAAAATAATAAAATTATATAAGAGTTTCTTGCCTTGAACTGCTAATATAGAAATTAATTCCACGCTGTGTTCGACATAATGCGGATCAACCTACTCTCACTACCGGTTTCGGGGCCCTACTCCATCATCAGGTGAGCCTGGGTCGTTTCCACAATATGTCGAGTACAGCGCAGAGTATATAAACACGATTTGTAAAGTAGCGGTAAGATATTAAGTCGCGAGATAGCGGCCTGCGTGCAATGGTAGTACTTTCGTACCACCGAGGCACAACTATCGATAGCAAATAAAGGTTTTTTTCGGCTAGCCCAAATTATATAATGGAAAATATATTTCTTGCAGTTTTTATGTATATAATAAAATTATATAAGAGTTTCTTGCCTTGAACTGCTAATATAAAAATTAATTCCACGCTGTGTTCGACATAATGCGGATCAACTTGCTCTCACTACCGGTTTCGGGGCCCTACCCCATCATCAGGTGAGCCTGGGTCGTTTCCACAATATGACGAGCACAGCGGAGAGTATGATTTGGGTGATCGCATGATTGAGCATGATTTCCATTATATAACAAAATAATTAGAGTATAATTATTACAGTTGGGGATATATTGATATAACTGATAAAATTGTATCTCTCATTAAAGGAAACATTTAGATATTTTTTATGATTAAATATTCTACATGTCATTTCATAAATAAATAATAATATAGATCTTTTTTCTATTAAGATATAAAAAACTCTCACCTGTGCAAAATTTTGCTAAAAAAATTATCTAGTGGAGACAACACAAGTCAGAAATCAACATTTTATTCAAGATGATGCCTTATTGTTCAGTTTTAAATAAAACTTGATATACCTAGAAGCACCATATACTTACCTACCTTTTTTGGTTTAATCGACATTAAGAGCAAATCTGTTAAAATCAATATTTTTCAATTGAATAATGCAACATTAATACATTTCTCTATTGTATTTTCATATTGCAGTGCTTTGTGGACCTCATGTTTTGGACTGATATTCATATATACAATAAATTTCTATATCGGCATGATCTTAATAGCCAATTATAAAGAATGTGATCCACTTGCAAATGGCGAAATAAGCAGTGCAGACGAAGTATTACCGTTATATATTATATCGATAATGGGACATCTGAAAGGAGTGACAGGATTTTTTGTTGCTGCAATATTTGCAGCGAGTTTAGGGTAAGTTACATTCAACTCAAAAATAAAATAGATTAAAAAGTTTTGGTCCTCATACTAATTCAAAATAAGTTTTTTAAATATTTTATTATTTTTTTACACATGTTTATTCACCTTACGATACACTTCTTCCACAACGGTGATTTGACCTCATCAACCCGTCGAAATAGTACTTGGTATTTTAGCAAAAACCTCATAGTTGCGAAAATGTCTGCCCTCTGAGCGCAATTTTCAGCTTAAAAAATATAAACAGTTAATTAGGAGTTAAATCTAGTGAATACTCATATATTCAACATTTTATAATATAGAACAAATATTGTTTAATACATGTTATGCCCTAAAAAGGGCAACAATACAGTTACATTAAACAGCCAATATACAGTATGTCCCCGCACCCGTAGCACAACAATATGGGTAAAATATTATATTGACACGATGTTCACGGCAGATTTTTTTTAATGGCCCAATATATATTTTTTATATGAATACGATATTAAAAATACGGTTAAAAGGTGCATGTTTTATACAGGGTGCTACAAATTCGAGGTACGAGCATTGGTATCTCGGTAACTGTAATAGATACGAACATGATTAAATTGGGGCAACATGATTAAGTTACGCTTTGGGATGTTCACCAAGATGGCATTAAAAAAGTTTCAAACATTTCATCTGATATTATTTTTATATTTTCAAATTAGCTGATAATTTGTGAGATACAAAGGCCAACTTAATTTTTTTTAAATACGGACCTGTATTTTTTATTACCTGTTTTGAAAGAACTCGGCCTCCTGAGTACAATGATATGCCACCCTTTATACTTTTTTGTTGTTTTGGGTACATTAACAACAATAAAACTCTTTAATTATTATTTAAAATAATTTCAAGTCCGACTCTGTTGTAAATTATTTGATCTGATTATATTCATCGCAACAATATTGATCAGCGCTAATTAACATTGAATAAGGAAAATCGAGCCAATTGGAAGATTCAAATAAATTATATCCAGGTGAGCAATTTAAAGATATTATTTTTAACTTTTTTTATTGTGAATTTGAAATCTCAATGTGCGATCTAATAATATGCGTAATATTAATCGTAGTTATTATAAATAAACTAACTTCTACAAACTAGTTTCTAATGCTCTACATGTTCGAAAGGGTTACCACCCTTCCTATTGCACACATTTATTTTTCGTTCAATTTTATTTATAGCTCTTTGAACTTTATTCTTATACTTCCCAATGCATTTTGTACTCTTTATTGTAAATGTTGAGACATATTGATTTCACTTTTGATTTCACAAATGAAGTGAAGTAATGTATTCATTTGTATATTATTTTTTATTATTTTATTGCATTTGATTTTCCATATTCAATTTTTTTACCCCACGTCATTGTTAAGTTTGAAGGCTTATCAATGTTGTAACGATGAATAGATTAAATATTACATACATACATACATACATACATACATACAGCCGTTACTCGCTGACGAGTATTCGACACACATAAAGAAAATGGTCACGCAAGGCGTTTTCTTTCATGAGCTTTTCTGTGACTGAAAAGCCCGATACGTGATGTTATCTGCCTACCGCACTCCGGACATTCAAAAATCTCATTGCTTTGTTCTCACAAATTATCAGCTAATTTGAAAATATAAAAATACTGTCAGATAGCTTTTATTAAGTGGCTATGAGAATGTGCAATTAGTTCTTTGATTTTCTTTAACGTAATGACAGGAAAGAAGAAAATTAATTTTCAAAAAAATCCGTTTTTTTCCAAAAACCTCAGCAATTCTAGAAATTAAAAAAAAAAATTTGATGGCATCTTGGTGAACATCCCAAAGGGCAACTTTGCTCCAATTTAACAATGTTCGTATCTATTACGGTTACTGAGATACAAATGCTCGTACCTCGAATTTGTAGCACCCTGTATAGATCTAGAAAAATATAGTATATCTTTTATACATACTATGTATAAAAAGAAGGTTGCAGGAATTTTCGCTGCGAAAAATATATTTTTCATAAAAAAATTTTGCCTGGTCTAAAATGGTTAATCCCGTTTATACTCTTTTCCAAATTTCCATACCATTTTAGAGAAAATTAAGAAAAACATGAAAATATTGTTGACTTTTTTCGAAGTCCTAAAAATCAAAAAGCGTTCTATAGTAATATCAATTCGATTTCATTCTTTGATAGACGGTTATTATTAATTTTGATTAACGTCATATTCTTTGTTGTTGTTAAAGTATATCGTATTTTACGATAACTATCATCATCCTTTTCCTAGCATTGAATTAAATAAATTTTGAGCTTCTTTTAAAACAACAAAAAAATATTAGTTGTTGTTAGTTAAATAAAATTCCATGAATAACAATCTATCAAAGAATGGGAGCGAAACCTGGGTGCCGTACCGCCGACACAAGAACGCATTAAACAAGTTACAACAGAGACACCTTAGAAAACTCTTAAGAATCCGGTGGTTCCATCATGTCTCAAACGTATCGGTCCTTGAAAAAGCTAATTGCGAGAGTATTGAAGTCATGGTTACAAAATCCCGCTTAAGATGGGCTGGTCACCTATGCAGAATGCAAGAAAACCGCATACCAAAATCTCTGCTTTACGGTGAGCTTATAGACGGTAAGAGGAGGCCGGGTGGACAACTCAAAAGGTACAAGGACATTTTCCATCTTTTGATGCGTGTCGAATACTCGTCAGCGAGTAATGGCAATATAGTATATAGTATCAAAGAATGAAAACGAAGCTATAAACTATAGAAACACGTTTTGATTTTTCCATATTTTCATGCTTTTCTTAATTTTCTCTAAAACGGTATGGAAATTTGGAAAAGCATTAACGGGACTAATGATTGTATAATAAGCAAAAATTTTTATAAAGAATGCATTTTTCTCAAAATGTCAATAATAAAAAAATGTTTCCTCTTTGTAAAGACAATCCGGGGGCAAACTCATTTTCGTCATTCCGACATCGGGACTCTCGTTCTGGAATACAACACTCCGAATGACGGATCTAGACTGAAATACGCTCTGCATGCTGTCAAAAATCTATCAAATTGAGATGCCAATGCAAATGAAAATGTTTGATGAGTGGAGCTATACTCTTTTACTCATTTCCCTTGTCATTTTCCTCCTGCAAACTTCTTGTGACCCTATCAGGTTTCCTTGTTTCTGTTGGTTTCCAGTTGGTTTATTGGTTGATTGAAGTAGAAAATACGATCGTTTGTCGAATTCCAATTAGCAGAGTTACTGTTTTGATAGTACCTACGCACTGTGAGACCCTATTTTTAGGGAGGGTACAATTGGGTTGTTAGTTACAATAGTTGGTTACAATCTTTGGTTTGATATTTCCAGCATCCATTAGATACATCCGTATCATTTTAGTTTTATATATTTTTATTTATATAATTTTTAGTCCAAAAACTTTTTGTAACTGTTTATTACATGTGTTTATTTTATTGTATTTAAATGTATTTTTTATTTGTTTTTATTTTAGTACAGTGGCTTCCGCATTAAACAGTCTTTCAGCTGTTACAATGCAAGATTTTATCCATGAAGCTTGTGGAATTGATATTCCTGATAAGCGGGGTGCCTTTTACGCCAAAGCATTATCCATTGTTTACGGAGCTATTAGTTTTGGATTAGTAAGTTAAGCTATTAACCTTCATTCAGAACCTCGAAATTAACCTTCTTCTAATTTTGTTAGTGGTAGTAATTTTCAGTTAGTAGAAAAAAATAGGCCGGCCGTAGCTCCAGCGATAGTGTGTCGATGTGCGGAGCGGAAGGTACTGGGTTCGATCCCCAGTCAGTACTGTCGTTTTATTTATTTAGATAAAAATATTTATTTATCTAAATAGAGCGACCAACGAGCCGCCACCTCAAGGAAGGCAATGGTAAACCACCTTGAATATATTTGCCTTTTACAGCCTCTCAAATAGAGCCGTTCGGATTCGGCGATAAACTGTAGGTCCTGTGTACTTGTGAAACACTGATGACACACATCACAAGTACATTCGAGAGGTAGCCTACGCTCTATATAGAGTATGGCACTGTAAGAAGAAGAAAACATTAACAAACCTTTAACTTTTTCCACTAATAATAATTGAAGACATGAGTTGATAAAGGTGTCATGTTACATACACCATTAATAATTATTTTTAGACATGTTTTGTGGATTTACTCGAAACTTTAAAAAAGCGACATGACACCTTTATCCAGTCATGTATTTAATTCAAAATTTGCGAGTAATGTCATTTTGGCTTTTGATTATCATCCGTCGATAGAAATTGTGGTTAGAAATACAAAGTTTATTCTTCTATAAGCTAATAATTATAAGGCTTTTTCTATGGAGACAACTGACTACCGCAAGCTGCTGCTAGGATACTCTATTAATTTTAATTGTTTTTTTTTAGATTTTGTTAATGATCGTAAACTCTCAAGTATAAAGTATAATAATTACTTTTATACGTATTAAGCTTCATTGAGAACCTCGCAATTAGTGGAATAAATTAGTGGTTTCAGTTACACTTTATGCTTTTTAGTGTACGATAATTCACAATGTTTAAAAAAACACAATTAAAATTAATTGAGTATCCTAGCAACAACAACGTCTTGTGGTAATCACTTGTATCCATACAGAAAACCTAATATGTAGCTCATAAAACAATAAAATTTTGATGTGTAACCACATTTTCTCTTGACGGACGATAATCAAAGGCCAATATGACATTCCTCGCAAATTTTGAAGTACAATTTAGAGGAAAAGTTAAAAGTTTTTTAACTCTTTCCACTAATTGAAAATTCCTACCATTAATTTTGCCGTTCTGAATGCTTACATTCAAATTAGAGAAACAAACTTCTACGATAATTGAAACCGCTAATTTATTCCACTAATTTCGAGGTTCTCAATGAAGCTTTATGCCTTAAAATCAAGATTTTAATATATCCCGGTGTACTTGATCGATTTCTATAATTTTATTTTATCTGTATATGTTTATAATTTCTTTGACATCTATTTTATTTTAGATATTTGTAGTAGCTCAACTTGGAAGCGTAATGCAGGTAGCAATTAGTTTTAATGGTATGGTTGGGGGAGTTACTTTGGGACTATTTTCATTAGGCATGTTCTTTCCCTGGGCCAATTCTAAGGTAGGCATTTAATTTTGAATATGTTCACTAATTAATAGCTAAGTTTTGTACATTTACTCTTACTGACATACCTATTATCGTAATTTATTTTATTAATAGATATTACATTAGATAATTGTTATATTTCCATATAAGATTTTCAATAAATGACATTAGATATTTTTAGGGAGCAATCTTTGGGTCAGTTGTAGCATCAATGCTTCTAACATGGATGTGTATTGGTCAGCAAATTGCGGCAAAATCCTTAACTGATGAACTATATAGGTAATTAGAATTTATATATGCAAGAATTATTATAATCTATATGTAAGGGGTATAAATTAATAAAAAGTAACAAAAATAATTACAGGATGTGGATAACTTAAGAGGTGGCAACATTGCATTTTTTCAAATCACTATAAATAAATATCCGAAAACTGAACATCGGCACTCAAAAGTTTTTCAATATTTTCCGGAAAATGTAAAGAAAAATATAAACTTTTTAACAATTTTTTCCGCAAAAAAACCTCGTGGGCGTGTTTCTGGGGTCGAACTATATTACCATACTTACTTACTTACTGCCATTACTCGCTGACGAGTATTTGACACGCATCAAAAGATGGTTACGCAAGGCGTTTCCTGTCATGAGCTTTTCTGTGACTGAAAAGCCCGATAACGTGATGTTATCTCTCTTCCGCATTCCGGATATTCAAAAATCTCATTACTTTATTGCCTCTTTACTTTTTGGTTGTCGTTATTAACAGAATATACAATTCACCTCCTTTGCGTTCTATTGTGCGCTGATTCCTCCCACTTATGCTGCATACTTATCCCCTTTAAGTTTTCATGAAAAACATCCTTGTATCTTTTGAGTTGTCCACCCGGTTTCCTCTTACCCTCTACAAGTTCACTGTAAAGAAGAGATTTTTGTAGGTGGTTTTCTTGCATCCTGCATAAGTGGCCAGCCCATTTTAAGCGAGATTTAGTAATAATGACTTCAGCGCTTTCGCAGCTTTCTTTTTCAAGGACTGATACGTTTGAGACATGGTGGTACCATTTGATTCTTAACAGTTGTCTAACGTGTCTCTGTTGCAACTTGGTTAATGCGCTCGTGTGTCGGCAGTACGGAACCCAAGTTTCGCTTCCAAATAACATGGTGCATGGTGGGGATTATTACTGCTCTATACACCGCAAGTTTCGTTTTTGTGCTCAAGTCATGATTGTAGAAAACCCTATCTTTTAATTTCCAGAATGCTCTTGCGGCGCTGCTGATTCTATGCTGAATTTCAGAGTCGATATTTGCCTTTTCCGAAATCAAACTGTCGAGGTAATTAAATTCCGATACATATTCCAATAGTTCTTCTGTGATTTTTATAGCGCTGTTATGATTTTCCGGGGGAGTGCACATGATTTTGTGTTTTATCGATGTTCAGTTTAAGGCCCAAAGTCTCGTATGATCAGGTATATGTATTCAACATTTCCTGTAATTGCTGTAACGTATTTGCAACTAGAGCGCAGTCATCAGCGTATTGGAGTTCTGTGATGAATTTTATACGTATTTTTGCCCTGAGTCTTTTTATGTTGAACAGACCGCCCGCGCCGTCCCATACCTGTATCTAACACTCATTCCTCTCTTCTGCAGTTTGCTGTCCACTATAATAGAGAGCGCTGCCATGAATATGTTGAATAGGAACCATACTTAGACTTATTTTTGGGACACCCTGTATAATGTAAACTTTGGAAGCTTTACTAACATTTCGATGTATTTTGTTTAAATATGGCTAAAAACTAAATTGAAAAGTTTTCAAAACCATTTACTAAAAACGTTAGTCCCTTTACCACTTTTAATTTTATTTTCAGGGATGACAGTATCTTTATTCTGTTTCGGCTGTCCTATATCTGGTATTCAGCCATCGGCTTCATCGCTACAATAATATTAGGATTGTTAGGATCATACGCTACTGGTTTCCAAAATCCAGAAGAGTTAGATATTATTTTGTTATCACCGCCTGTGTTAAGTTTTTTACAATCATTGCCAGATTGCGTACAAGAAAAACTAAACTTACCTCTAGAGCCATCTATACGAATTTCAAAACTCAGCTTAAATGTAGTCACTGTCGAAGTTTCTAAGTAATTACATCACTTTAGAAATAGTACTTTTGATAATTTTTACATACCAGTGACGTTCGTAAGTTGAAATAATTGAGTCGATGGACTTCAAAGCCCAGAGTCTATTTTAGAAATCCAAAGATTTGAACAAATTTGATTCGGTTTTTTAAGTATTTACTTTTGAATGAAACTGTTAAACACATTTATTTTTAAAAGTTTGCATTGATTACTTTTATTCTGAAAAAAGGGCAGAATTTTTCTTATGCTGAAAAAATACGGAGGTACATGACAGACCTAAAAGCTGTCTAAGGATTTTAACAGAAGAAACCAAAAAATGACGAAAAGTACAATTTATATAGTACAATATATGTCAATTAAAGTGACAGACAACAATTGTCACTGTCTTGTATTCTCTCGTTGGTCAGACTTTATATACCGGGTGCGTCTCAAAAGTGGCTCGCCCCTATAACTTTTTAATTTTTTGACATAAATTAGGATTGATTGACATATTCAATTATTTTCGGTCACTTCCGGTTTCATCGGAAATGACTACAACTTTTGATTTTTAAATGGCATCCTCGGTATTTTTTTACTTTATTCGATAGAAAATGACACTCTGAATAGAATGACATATCATATGTCAACTTTTGAAAATTTCGCATATGGTTTATTTGAAAATGTAACCTGCGGTTCATAACGACAATTTGAGTCGAAATACCAAGTGTGTGGTATCAAATTATTCGTAAAAAATGCTTTTTTCAAATATGCTAATGAGCCACCCTCGTTTCATTTGAAAAAGTTCAGATATGATTAAAAATACGATTTGGGCATCTTTTAACCGGCCAGGAAAAGACACTAAAAACATTAGACGATCAAATATAAGGTAAGTGTATACAATATCGCCATTCAAAGCTTTTATTTTTTTTTCAATAGGTAATTAATATTTGGTATCAAAATTTATAAGTAAGATGCATTATCAAGACTATTTACTAATAGTTTTAAATTGTTTGGTAATATTTTAAGCACACAGAGAATATTTGTTATTTTTTTATTTTATTTTGTAAATTAGCGATATTGTCATCACTGAGCTAGCAATACCCCCAACTATATTTTATATGTTGAATTTTAAATAAATTCTTAAAAAAGTAAAGAAAAACTTAATTTCTGTAAATAGTATTTATTTAGGCCAGGCAAGTACACAAATAATAACAAAAATTAGGAACAGTAATGTCAGATATATCCCTCTATTTTGTCTTCTTTTGTTAATCCTAGACAGTCATCATAATAAGATTGGTACATAACAAAGAGGAGCGTATCGAAACTCTATCTTCTGGGCATGCTTTGCAATACCTAAACTTTCTACTTTTTTGGTTCAGTCTTCTTTTTTGGTACACTTTTTTTTGAAGTTGTGGCCACTGACTTAGTCTTTTTGTTTCCGGCTGTAAATTCAGTAAAAAGATCTTTTGTAACAACTTGTGCTCTGCTGTTATTTGCTGGTTTTCGAAATTTTCCATCGGATCTTTAAGGAGAGTATCAAGAAAAAGGCAGAGTTGTATTTTTGTTAGGTGTGAGCAATATCGCCAGTGGCGATATTGCCACACAATGAAAGTGACGGTATTGCTATCAGGGATATTGGTCAGAGATTTGTTTGTTTACAAAAAATAAAAAACCTTTAAAATTAAAACTGAGACCTAATCCAATACCTGAAAACATACTGTATAAGATACTTAATTGAAAAAATTACTTACCAAGTGATTTCGGATGTTAAACATCAACAAAATTTTAATAACGTTTAGAAGGCGGTTTCACTAAACAATGTTTTGCCGGTAAAATCACAACGAAAATGAAATTTGAGGTTATAAAGCAACCGGTACTCGTTGTTTGTCGCAAATTTCTTCACTAAGGTAGTATCGGTAGCGCCATCTATCAAATAGGAATACAAGCTACACATGGCGATATTGTATGTAGAATGTAGAAGGCTCCTTGATTAAAAATTAGTGTTTTTAACATAGCCATGGCACTCTAGATTTGAATTTAAAATACAATTTATTTTTGAGCGAATATGTCAAAACTTGTGTCAAAAGTTGACATATGATATGTCATTCGATTCAGAGTGTCATTTAAAAATCAAAAATTGTAGTCATTTCTGGTCAAACAGGAAGTGGCCGAAAACAATTGAATACGTCAATCATTCCTAATTTATGACATATACTAACATACCAAACCTCGTTTTTTTATCTGAAAAAATAAAAAAACTTATAGGGGTGAGCCACTTTTAAGGCGCACCCGGTATATTAATCATACAACAATAAAATAACATTTGGAAGAAATTTTTATTTAAAATTACATTAATTATATAAAGAGTTTTGTTAATTTACCACACTGCTTTTTATAATTAACATTAAGAAACAAATTAGAAACTCATATCTACGAATTATAATAAATATAGTCTGTCCAGCAGGAGAATATATGATATCAACAGAGGACATCCAAAGTGTGACATAAACAAACAGTCTGCTTTTCAGTTAAAATGGCGGGCAGGAATAAATTATTGTTAATGCTATACCGATCTAGTCATCAAAACTGCGTGGTCTGGATTTTAACATATAAGACGGTGATGTAGACAACTTAAATAAAAAATCAAACGTATTAAACAGAGATAAAAGTTAGGTAGATACATTTCTTCTATGCGGTATTGCCGGATTTTGCATCAACATTTCAAACCGCACAAGTACTTAGGTGTTCCCGAAAAATGTTGCATCTAGGATTAGAACTTTATTTTTCATAATTAGTTACTCGTTTTACTACAGGTGTAATATATTCTTAAACAACTGTCTAACAGAAATGATCATTAGTGAATGGCTTAGATTATTATAATCGTTTATTATTTTATTTCTCGTTCGAACGGGCAACACTGCATGTCGCTTTTTATTTTGCCTCTCGGTCTGTCGACTGGTCGTATATATTTATCTCTGTCGTATGGCATTAAAGTACAGACCACGGAAATAAAGTGACCGACTAGTATACACAATGACTAAAGAATGTAAGGACATGTAACGCCCATATACGGGCTGCACCAGAATTTGTGACCTTAGACGCCATTCTTTTGATGGAAACGAATGAATCAGCTGGTCACCAGCGACAATTTTAGCAATTTTTTATAGCTTGTGTAGTTAAGTTTGTTTAAACTTTATTACAATGGTGATTAGTTGTTCAGCTTTCAAGCGTAAAAGCTGCAGCGATAAGAAAGAGCCAGGAGTTACGTTGCATAGGTAAATAATCAGTCCGCTCCACCTTTTTAGCGTTTTCTTATTGAATTCGATAATTATTTTTCTGATATTATATGTAATTTGATGTGTCCTATACGTCGATACTAGTTTTGTACCTTTTGTTAACATTTTAATACGTCTTTTTTTCGCAATTAATTAGTATAATACCACCGTATACACCATAGCCGTAGTCAAAACATTTATAAAAAAATATAAATATCTCTTCAAACGGCTTAGGCAAGAAAAATATGTGCCACGGCACTGTTTGGTGCCATGGTAAAATTTGCCCTCGGGTATTATTTATCCTTGGATTTTTTAGTCATTGAGTATACATATCTTTATCGGACAGACTAAAGAAAATTATAATAATTGTTGTTTTTAGTATTAAAATAGTTATCTGTATAAGTTTATTTGTTATTTTTGACGTATTATTAGCACTTTATAGAAAGTATGTCGACTATATGATATATTTCCTGTCGCAGTTATTATTGTAGGTACTGTCATATTTTTACAGGAGTTACCTGATTACTTAAAAATTACAATAAAATAGCATTTGATATTAGTATTTTTTTGTAATACGATTAAGAATTAATATTACAATAAAGTATTATATTTTACTCTGTAGTGTACATATTTATGTAATAATTTATTTTATTAAAGTTAAGAATTTAATGAAAAAAAATTGGTGCCAGAGTTAGCTTGGAAATCCTTATTCTTGTTCGTTGTAAGTCATTTCCACGCCAGTTTGACGCAGTTGTTTTTGGATTATACGGTTTTTACGAGTATATTAATTTGTTTTATTACAATAATTCTTTGTACTGGATCGTATCCATTAACACTACATATCCCTACGAATATGGCGTAGATATTGAATATCACTTTATGAAATAATAAAAAAATGTGTTTATTTTTTAATACCTTTATTGACATATTTATGTTTAACTTTGATTTTTTAAAATGTTGTAGCCTATTCAGCGCAGCGTCAGAATTAATAAGATTTCGGCAACATCCAAAAAATTATAAAATAGTAAATGATTTGCATCTGGGAACCACAACTATAAAGCGAAAGCTACATATTCTTTATCAGGGTCGGACTGACCATATAGTCAGGGTGGCGTTTCCCAGCCGGGCTCCAGCCTTCGCCCCCCCCCCCTTCTTAGGACCTACATATAAAATAGTTTATTATATTATTCGTAAATAGAAATGAAAAAAGTAAATGTAATATTTTGAAGTTATCCCGAAAACTTTATGGGTTTAGTTTGCATTAGGGGTAGTTCCCTGATTTGAAACAGGCGAAAAAACACATAGAGCGAAAAAATACGCAAAAAAATCCACCCGGGCCTCTCCTCACAATGCCGCCCGGGCTCCTCCTCACAATGCCACCCGAGCCCCTCAGTTCAGTCCGACCATACTCTTTACCAACTACAGAACAATACAGGGTGGCGTCTCTCATACGCCGCGGAGGCTCCAAGAAGAACAACAGTTTGTATTGAAATGTAATTTTGTTAGCATATGTAGGTTAACTCAGAGTACTTTTTAAAAATATAGAGAGTTCTATAGGGTGTCCTCAAAGAAAGTTACATATCAAAGTTGTGTTTTTTGTAATGGAACACCCTATATATGAATTGATTTTCGGATTCTGGGAAAAAAATAAAGGTGAGTTTTATAAAAGAAATATATGACTAAAATGTAAGGTTTTTGACATATTTAACATTTTCTAGAAATAAAGAAAAATTTTTAAATTACAATAAAAGCTACATAAATTGGAATTTACCCCGTATATCCTAATATGTAGTTAAATTAACTATTGTACTTTAAATCAAATTAAAACTTGATACAAAAAGTTATACAGGGTGAGACAAAATTAATAAAATACTTTACTTAAATGCTCCTGATTTTATCTAGTCTGTTTTTTTTTATGGGGATCAGGACCGGCGGAAGGGCCAGGCGACCGGGGCGCCGCATGCGAGGGGCGCCACGAGGGTAACTAAAATAATTAAAAACAGTAATCTAAACAAATAGTAATGAAAAACCAGATCAATAATTAATCGGTACTATCAATTTCCACATTAGAATATTAGCAATTACCATACCACATATGGAAGAAATATCTGACTAAACATTATAAACACTACTATATCCTAGACGTATCCTATTATAATTTACTAAAATTATGCTCAAAAAAATCCTTAGCACGAAAGCTTTGGGATAGTTTCGATTTCTTCTTTTCTTTGCCTCATTAATTAAATTAATTTATTAACAGTAGTGGGAAAAGATATCAATCTTTTGATGGTTTTGAATATTCCGGATTGAATATGTAGTAATACACGGAAAATGGTAGCAGAATTGTAGAATTTTCTCATTAGAGAAATTACACAAAGAAAAATTTCTCACAAAGAAATGCATCTCAAACACTGGCTGATCTTCATTTTGAAGCCGACAAAACTGTATCTGATCATATACTGATTCTGTACGAAATAATTGATTGTGAAAATTAAAGGAAAATTTTCTTAAATTCTTATAGAAAAATAATTCAACTGCTTGCAACTAAATACTAATGTTTTCAAAGATCACTTATACCAGAACGAGACTGCCGAAGTTGGAATTCTATTTCTTATAGCTCTATATACCGGGTGAGTCTCAAAAGTGGTTCACCCCTATAACTTGTTTATTTTTTCAGATAAAAAAACGATATTTGGTATGTTAGTATGCGACATAAATTAGGATTAATTGACGGTATTCAATTGTTTTTGGTCACTTCCTGTTTCACCGGAAATTACTACAACTTTTGATTTTTAAATAGCACTCTTGGTATATTTCTACTTTATGCGATAGAAAATTACACTTTGAATAGAATGACATATCATATGTCAACTTTTGACATTTTTGCATAAGATTTATTTGAAATTGTAACATGCGGTTCATAACGGCGAACAATTATTTGTATCAATTTGACTCGAAATACCAGGTGTCTGGTTTTAAATTATTCGTAAAAAATGCTTTTTCCAAATTTACAAATGAGCCACCCTTGTTCCATTTGAAAAAATTAAGATATGATTAAAAATACGATTTGGGCATCTTTTAACTGGCCTAGACAAGACACGAAACATATTAGACGATCAAATCTATTTTTTCCAAGGCTCCTTGTTTAAATTAATAAATCAGTGTTTTTAACACAATCGTGGCACTCTAGATTGAAATTTAAAATACAATTTTTTAAGCGAAAATGTTCAATACATCAATCAAGCCTAATTTATGTCATATAATAACATTACAATTGGGGGCTGGAATTTACAGTTGGGGGTTGGATATAATAACATACCAAATCTCGATTTTTTATCTAAAAAAATAAAAAAGTTATAGGAGTGAGTTATTTTTGAGACCCACCCGGTGTAGAAAAATCAACAACCGTAGATTAAGATTAAACGAAGAGAAGAATTTTGAAGTATCTTTAAGTAAAAATTTATTGTTAAAGTATCATAAATATGATTAGTAGTAGATAAAGTATATTATTGAAGGAAAGAGAGAGCTATAATCTATTACGGGGGGGGGGGGCAGATGTGCGGGTACTCGGTACTTATAATGTTCGGACATTGATTAACAAATTATCAGCAGCTGCGGCTGTCAGTGTTTTGCGATATTATGTCCAGTGTAGAATATCTCTCTCTCTATGTATTATATATTCATAATTATTGTATAACATGAACATTTAATAAATTGACATTTCTTATAAAAAATACTATTTATTTTTAACAAACTCTACATTAACATTCAAAACTCGTCGTGAAAACTCCTTGCTGTATCCACCATCTTTGACTTAATGAATAAAGCTGGATGGGCAAGTATCTCATTCAGAGACAGCATATTGTCATGGTCTCCATCTGCTATGGCCAGCAGGGCTTCGGCCTCGTGCTCTGAATGTCTAGGGCTCTGGGGGGCCACGTAGTGCAACAACTCCCTACGATCTGCTTTGCCGTCGCCGTTTATATCTATGGACGTTCGGAATTCGTGACGGCGTTGTTCCTCGCCTTGTCGGACGACTAAAGTTTCATCTCCATTACCTGTCATGGAAAAGAAAATTAAAGAATACAAATATCATATATTCGGCATTTGACAATATAATTCACAAGGTTATCAAGCGACCTCTGGAAAGGGGGGTGAACAGTACGATAATTCGCTGGTTTTGGGAACCAGAAAGCAAAGTCTGAAAAACTTGAAAAAAATCCATCTATTTGGAAGGAAATACTGCCACCACAGGAAGTCAAATACCTGGAAATAGCCCTGGACAGTTCTCTGGAACGGGCATATTGAACATTACCAGAAAAGCCACAAAAGCTCGCTCAACTCAGTAACCATCAATTCGAAGTTGGACAAAGAATGCCTAGAGAAGCTGAACAAATTAGGCAAAGAAAATAAAGTCCTCCTACTCTGGTTGCCCACTCATCTAGGGATAGAAGGCAATGAAAAAGCAAACAATCTAGCTAGAAAAGGAGCGAACATTCTACTAACTGGACCAGAATCGTTCTGTTTTCCAAGCGGCAACTAACTAAAACTTAAAAACCTGGAAGACTCCATACGTAACATGGAACGGGAGTCCTCCAACGGTTTAAGACACTCGAAAAAGTTCCTCAAAACTTAAGACCGAGAAAAATCAATGGCTTTCCTTGATTTAAGTAAAAACAATCTTCGGATTCTCCCGGGGTTTCTAACAGGACACTGTCTCCTCAACGAACACCTCAGTAAGCTGAAGCTGAGAAACAACGGCGAATGCAGCATCTTGGGGAAAATAGGGAAACACCAGAACACCTTATCAATGAGTGCGCCGAGACGACGACCGTTCGTGCCATGAACTTTGGTACGCCTGATGTCGAGGATGGAGAGCTGGCCTCTGTGTAGCTGTCTCAGATACTGGCTTTTGTTAAAGCCCTGAGACTCTATGATGAGTTGTAACTCGTTATAACTCAATAAATGGGAACAAAAAGTAGATCTGTAAGGTCGCGGTGATTAACTCCCTCTTAAACATTCTACATTCTACATCCAATTATAAACATTGTTCCAAAAACAGTATTTAGTTAAAAAAAATACTGTTGTACTAAACGATTTGATCTCAGTGAAATTCTTTGGTAGTTAGAAAAGTATCTTGCTAAGTTTTTTAATCTCTCGAGCAGAGGACGATTAAAAGATACATAAATAATACTTTACCTTCCGTTTGCAGTACCGCAAATTCATTTTCTGTTAATACTTCGTCTCCATCTCTGTCAAATTTATCAAATAATTCGTCTACCATAACCAATTGATTAGTTACACTAGATTCTGGATGGGTAAATGCTAGAAATTCATCAACGGTTAAAGAATCTGGATTTGTTCTCGCAGCTTCAGCCCAAAGTGCTTTATCTCGCATTATTTGTTCTAAAAAATATAAAATAATATATTAGAGTCGAACAGAAATTTTAATAATAATCAGCAGTAAAACCTAACCAGGGGCGCGGGTACCCTAACCAGGGGCGTGGGTGCTCGGGTATCCCAGCATCTACCAGAGGAAAACAGTTGGAAAACACGAGCATAGGCGTCAAAACAAATCAGTTTAGCAAATTTAAGCAACTGTAGAAACAAACAACTCAAAAACTGTAGAATGTGCTTGCATAATGCGCATCATACTGTGGTAGTTTTTCGAAGAAATCAATTTCAATAGTTCTATGTAAGTTTTCTCGTCCATTCCAGATAGTTAAACCAATCCTCTTTTTCAATTTTTGCACAAGCGAGTAAAATGCAAGAAAGAACTGTATTTCGGAAAGCCATTTTTACTTAGAAAAAATTGGTGCCGGGAGGCACGTATAGCCGCCCATACTAAGATATTGTCACACCCCATTTTGTGGGTTATGACTAGGGGCATAGCAAATAATAAATACTTCAATTTAACTTAATAATCAATTTAATTAATCTACGAATAATACAATAATTATAAAACTAAATGTGTACTTACATATTATATTTATGGACGAACATCATCACTGGCTCGGGGGTAGTGTCAGGGTAGTGTAACGCCAATGCCGGAATCTCGACCGCGACCTTATCGAACTTATTATCGACTATCCACTGTCGACTGTGGACTGTCCCCCAAAAGGTGACATTTTTGTATTTATTGGTTCGTTACGTCGAATCATCGAATCAGCATTATTGGTCTATCGGTGCGATGACCGGTGCGATGACCGCGTTAGTGCTGATTTGATGATTTTATAAATTCGTAGTATTGAAAGGAAATATTTTCGCAATTGCCAATTATGCTTATAACTTTGATTTTTAAAACTTTACTTTTGTTGCGTAAATGCCAATGAACTTTAATTATTTTATACTTCCTTTCAATCGAATTATTAATTTACCAAATATATTAATATTAAATATGTTATTTTATATATCGAATAATTCCATCCTTGACACTTCCCCCGCACCTCTAAAGCTGGACCCCAGCGATAATTCAAGATTTATGAAATTATACTTTTTAACAATAATTATTATACATTGCAATAAATTGTGCTTAACGTTTCATAATAAAAAAAATGTTTTAAGTATACAATATTAAAAAAAAAATTTTAAAGAAATTACTAACTAAAAAAAAATATATAAAAAAAAAGCTTCTCTATAAGTTTAAGGATGGCGATAAGCCGTTTACATATAGACAAAAAAAATGTCTTTTAATACTGGCACTAACGTGAACTGCACAATACCTATATAGTTTTTAAGTTTCAATACATTGCACTGACTTCGTTCATAAAACACCCACCCACAAATCTCGTCGGCTGCTCACGGAGGCTGAAAACTGAAGTTTTGATTGTAGTATCCACCTTCACATCATAAACCTAACGAATGCACACATGCCTCCTGTTCCTGCACTTTGAAAAGCTCTTTTGTTTTGGTAGGCTGTTTCTCAATACTTGCGTCCTTAGGGAGTTGTTTCTTGATATCGGTGTAGGCTGACAATGAAAACAAAATTCCAGTATGATTTTGTTTGTCATCTGGATTGGCGTCGAATTCATCTTTCGAAAAGAGACCAGTTTTTAGACAAGACAATAACTCTTCCTGTAGCTGCTTATATCGCCAGACCAAATTTGACAGCATGTTCTGAACCCATTTTTGAATTGGACTACTTGCTTCGGACTGCATTACCATGGTGTACTGGTCACAAAGCTTCATAAACAAGGGTAGGCAGTTTGCATCGTATAGGCATGATGGTGTGGTACTACATTCTTCTTTCTCCTTCAGGGTTGAGTTCATACGTCAATTCTTCTCAGTGGTGTTCCTTGACTTGTTGCTTGGTATTGGCAGTTTTGACCAGTAATTACATGAAAAAAGAGAACAAAGAGTAAATATGTGCTCTTACTTACAGCTTATTGTATTAAATTATTATGTCGTATAAACTAGTTCTTAAAGTACTTAATCCTATTTTAAGTTTGTTTGTTTAATTTTATTTTTCAACCTAGTTCAGAATATCATTTTTTTTTTGTTCTTGACGGCAAGGGAGAATATAAAAATTTTATATGATTGGGCGTAAAACAAACAATAAACTTATATTTTCGTTTGCAAATTTGTAGGATTTATGAACACTCCTACCTAATTTGTATGCCCTCTATCTCCTACCTACATTTGGGTTTATAATAATTTACTTTATTTTTTTTTTTTTTTTTTTTTTATTAGCGCTAAATAATTAACTCTAGTGGTTCAATACTTTTCGTTTCAAATTGATATTTGTCCTAGAGTTTGCGCGCAGTTAGGGTTAAATATCAATTTAAAACCTACACACTAGGGAGCTCCAATAATACATGTCATTAATAAAGACATCATTAATATTTTATGTTAAGAAAAACATATCTTTTTTCCAATTATTTCAATATTCCATCTTGATTTTATTTTGAAGAAGACTAACTTGGGCATACAGAGTTGCCTTTCCAATACACGTATACACAATACTTATTCTATTTGTATGCATTCAATAGTTGCATTTATTTTATCCTCAGGAGATAGAGATAGGAGGTTCTGATTATCATTTGGCTCTAGATTATAATGAAATGTTCGATTTTCGCTAGATACGCAAGAGAGTTTAATATTTTTATTTTCATTGTTAAAATTACATCTATTTAAATTTTTAAACGCCTATTATTTTGTCTTTTAACTTTATAAAGTGATTCCAAATACTATAAATAATTAAACATAAAAAGAAAAGAATAAAAAAAGTGAAACTATCACATAAAGTATGTCATGAGACGTATCGTTATCATGTTTCACAGCTTAACTTTAAATCATTTGAATTACGTTTCCTAGTTTCATCTACTAAATTTAATTTTTGCTATAAATTGTGGTATAACGGTTTTGAATATAAAACTTTACTTCAAACCTGAGATTATACCTATTATAATTACGATTAAAATTACGATTTTTTTAATTATTTATACTTCTGTCACATAAAATTACTGTGTCAGCTAATGGTATATATAGAAATTAGAAATATATCACTCGATTTTACCTATTTTATATATTGAATTAAGAAATCTAAAAAAAATTTTGTGTATGTTCAGACTTTTGACTAGATAATTAGAACGAAAATGTAAACTTAAATTCTACTTTTATCGGTTTTCCTTTTTCGGGTACCTATTCTTCGCATTTTACATTTAATTTTGACTGTAAAATTTGACTATCTACAGCAATTCCAGGGAGGGTGGCTAGGGTGGATAATAATATCCTTTGCCATCATGACGTTTCGCTTCCTAGATATTATCTTTGTCCTATGTCTTCTTCTCGATGTATGCTCTTTCCATGGCATTGTATTATCTGTTTCAGGTTTATATTCTAAAACCTTTCGCTTTCTTGTAAATGGTAGTTCTTCATTTATGTTTTCTGACTCAATTATCGATTGAGGTTCAGGAAACTGTCTTTTTCTTCTTCTTCCAGGAATATTGTCAGAGGAAATAAATCTATTTTTTGCCTTATCTCTACTTAATATAGGCAAACTTGAGGAATTGCATTCTACTTCTAAGAGCTCATTCTGAATATTTTCTATTTTCGTACATTCTATTTTGCTAGGGAGGGTATTATCCCCATCCTCTACCTGCAAATATTCTCCAGCAACAGGGAGGGTATTATAGTCTTCCTCTGCCTGTGCATATTTCAACGCTACAGGGAGGGTATTATCATCTTCCTCTGCCTGCGCATTTTCTAAAGTGAGGAAATCCAACGTTTCCTCTTTATAGTCATTTACAAAATCATCCTCTTTTTAAAAATATCCTCTTTTGACATCATTAAAATATTTTCCTCCTGGTTACTATACATTTCGTATGGGAGAGTATCCTGATTATCACAACATATATTATTTGACGACCTAGTTGATTGTGAAAAATTACTGTACTTAGATTGACCTGCATTGTTTATTCTATCTGAACCATAATTATTATTATTATTATTATTTATAAAACTAGTTCTGCCCTTTAAGTTCGAATCTAAATGATTAGTAAAATATTCGTATTGAAAATCATAGCGCCTCTGACTGATATTTGAATTTACTTGCTGTGATTGTCTTTTATTTATGTTAGAATTTTGAGAATGATAAGAATTTCTGGAATATGCTGATGTTTTGGATTCTAATAATATATCTTTTAAATCGCTTATTTTATAGATTATATTTTTCAAACTCTGGAAATTCATATTTTCAGTAAGCAGAAGATAATAATGATAATCATACGATTCATGTAAACCATATTCGAATTGATCTTTAAATATTTCAAAATTTATTTTACCATAGATTTCATGTGCAATTGATAGTAAATCGTAATAATAAGATTTTATATCTTCATTTTTTCCCTGTTTCCGTGTACGGAATTTAGATTTTAGTTTGCGTAGTGATATTTCACTTCCAAACTCTAAAATAAAATCTTTTTTGATATCGCTCCAGACTTTATTAAAATTATTTTTGTCATTAATATATTCCTTATACCAATAAAAAGCAGCGTTTTCTAAGTAGCATTCTAAATATTTTATCTTAAAAGCATAATTCCAGCCATTCTTACTAGTTATTTTATCATATTCTCGAATAAAAGAAATTGGGCAGTCGATTGTAGGGTCAAAAGTAGGTGGCGGTATAAATTCCGGTAGAACAGGTGCTTTTACAAAAGACATTAAAATATATTTAAAAAAATCAATTTAAATAATAATAAAATAAATAAATTCTAAACTATCATTAAAATAATTATCGCTCAGTATATCATGTAATGAAATACATTTTTCAACACACACAGACGTACAATGCAGTTCTAACTAAGTCAGCAGTATTTGTAACACGAATTAAATAAATATGGTCGCTTCCTTCAACACTCATATTTCAAAATATTCCTAACAAGAATAATATTTTCTAGGTCAGTGTCATCCTTGATAATGATATTCAACCAACAGGTTAAATTCTACAGTTTAAATAACTGAAATAATAAAATTCTCATTTAAAAATTATATTTATCATTATATATTTATCATGGCAACACTAAAAATAATTTAAAATATACTGTCTATCAATATACTGGATGTCGTTTTATGTGTCCTTATAGAATAAAAATAAATAAATTATTCTCAATAATAAAAATTCTCAACATTCACAAAAATTATTACCATATGCAGTGATTATTACCATATGCAGTAAAGAAAAAATTAAAAAAAAAGGATCCGACAGCATTTTCTATCTAAATAGTGTAAAAATACTGGACATTTAATAAAAAAAATGTTCCTACGCATTGAATTTATAAATGGTAAAAAATAAGTAAAACAAAACTAATATAAGAGATTCCTAAGTCTTAATATAAATTTTGCCATCTCCAATTATTATTAATACAATAAATTAAAATAAATAAAATAGTCCGTCCTACCAAATAATCAAGCATTTTAAATATATAATTATTTAAGTCAGTAAATGTAAAATAAAAGTACGAGCTTCTTTGTTGCTATCGAAGTATTAAAAAATTATTCATTTCGTATATGTTTTAGATTTATTTACACATATGGAGATGTGTAAGAAATTGTTACTTAATAAAAACCGGCGCCTCCACCACATATGTCACGGCCCATTTTGTGGGTTATGACTAGGGGCATAGCAAATAATAAATACTTCAATTTAACTTAATAATCAATTTAATTAATCTACGAATAATACAATAATTATAAAACTAAATGTGTACTTACATATTATATTTATGGACGAACATCATCACTGGCTCGGGGGTAGTGTCAGGGTAGTGTAACGCCAATGCCGGAATCTCGACCGCGACCTTATCGAACTTATTATCGACTATCGACTGTCGACTGTCGACTGTCCCCCCAACAGGTGACATTTTTGTATTTATTGGTTCGTTACGTCGAATCATCGAATCAGCATTATTGGTCTATCGGTGCGATGACCGGTGCGATGACCGCGTTAGTGCTGATTTGATGATTTTATAAATTCGTAGTATTGAAAGGAAATATTTTCGCAATTGCCAATTATGCTTATAACTTTGATTTTTAAAACTTTACTTTTGTTGCGTAAATGCCAATGAACTTTAATTATTTTATACTTCCTTTCAATCGAATTATTAATTTACCAAATATATTAATATTAAATATGTTATTTTATATATCGAATAATTCCATCCTTGACAATATGTTTATAAAAAGTTGGTAGGAAGTTCTTTTAGTTTCAAAGTAAAGGAATTTTTCCAATTTTTTTTATCTCAAAAACTGCGATTTGACTGATGTTATTACAAATTTGGTTGCAAATATTATTCCTAATCTTAAATTGAAAACCGCGTTTCGCTAGCTACTCTAATTTTGGAGTTACGATTATTTTAAATTTTTAAGCCCCTCCCATACCCCCTTACCAACCCCCCACCCCCACCAAAAACTAATAGCCAGATTCTCGGGTGCCACAGTATTTTTGTGCCAAATTTGGTTAAAATCGGTTTAGCGGTTTTTGAGTTATCGTGTTACAGACAGACACTATAAAAATATTTTGTATTTAGGTCATTTATGACTAGGGAATGCAATCCCGCATCAAAATCTCAATCCCGCAAACCCGCAGGATTAAAGCAATCAATCCCACGGATCCGCAAAATTGCGGGATTGTAAACAATGAATGCTCTTCTTTTCTCTCTCCGATTTGGGGTTGCGGTTTGGACCAGGTTTTAGACGCATCTATTGTGATCAAGATGCTATGTGGTTTTCGAAAATATATTTAGCGAAGTCTCGTATACAGGGTGTTTTATAATAGTGTACAAATTTGGTTAAAAATTTTTTTTACCGAAAATTTACAATTTTTGAAAAATCGAAATTTTAACTATATACGACTAATCTGTATTTAAATTAGGAAAAACAATTTGGTGTTTTTTTTTGTTAATTTTTTGTTTTAAGGAAAATACGAGTTTTTTTTTCGAAAAATATGCATTTATAGTCATACATTTGGTCCTAAATGGTACAAAAGGCATTGTACATTTTGCATAGGCCCACAATATACTCATATAGCGTGTATCTTAAACTATCTGTACAGAAATTTGGACCGATATATACAGGGTGTTCAAAAAATATATTTAATATTAAATAAACTTAACTTTTATTATAATTTATCTATTTATTTTATAAATAAAAATATTATTCTGATGTTGAAGGTTTTTTTTTCAACTTGTGTTAGTTATCTGCTTTTAGATACACTCTATATCAATAATTTTTTGGCATATGCATAATGTACAAAGCTTTTTGTACCATTTAGGACCATCGTATGACTAAAAATGCATATTTTTCGAAAAAACGTCGTATTTTCCTTAAAACAAAAAAAAAATTAAAAACCGATCAAATTGTTTTTTCTAATTCCAATACAGATTAGTCGTACTTGATAAAAATTTCGATTTCTTAAAAATTGCAAATTTGCGGTAAAAAAGAGTCTTGACCAAATTTTCACACTCTTATAAAACACCCTGTATACGAGAATTCGCTAAATATATTTTCGAAAACCACATAGTATCTTAACCACAATAGATGCATCTAAAACCTGGTCCAAACCGCATCCCAAAATCTTGTTTAGTTCAAGAGATATTCAACTTTAAATTTACCCTAAAATTTTGCTTGTCCCGATAATTATGTCCGGCAGTTTATTTGACGAAATTATCCACTAGTTAAACGCTTTTCTTCACTTACGCACGCCAGAAGGAAATCTAACAACTAACCTGTTTGTTTCACTTATTTTTAATGGCCAAGCCGTAAGGGGAATCCCCTGGTGTCGATCCCGCAGATTCCGCACGGTAAATCCCGCAAATCTGATCCCGCGGAATCACAGAGGGATCCCGCATTTGCGGGATTGCATTCCCTATTTATGACCCATATAACTCATTTTGAGTGAAATTAAAAAAACTTTTTTTGCCGATCTTAATAGCCCAGCATACCTGTTGGTATGGTCGGCTAAAAAAAACAATAAATGTTGAGAAATGTATAGCACTGCGAATATGTAGGTAACCCTCAAGAAAATATAAAATATATATTGTAAATTAAATTAATAATGTTACAAAAAAATTTAAATAAGTTGCAATAGTAATTAGATTGTAATAAAAGTAATTAAAGATGTTAGTGAAATTACCTTTAATCGCTCTTTGCAGACCTTTGTGGCGACGCTCATCGTGATTATGGACGAATTTCTCACTAAAACCTCGCTTTCTTAGAAAATACGAATGGTATTCCTTCCACGTAATTATCCCATTTCTTGGATTAACGTCAATTTTTAAAAACAGCCCGTAGTTATTTCCGACGGCCTCGGATATATGTTGAACTATTTTCGTTCGAATCCATTTTGACAATTCTTTAGAGTCCAGTTTTTCATCTTTATTAGTGTCTGCTCTAAAACAAGATTTGAAAGAAATGTATCATGTCGAGGCTAAAAAATATTTAAAAAATGTCTACCGGGTGCGTCTCGAGAGTGGCTCACCCCTATAACTTTTTTATTTTTTCAGATAAAAAAAGACGAGATTGGTATGTTAGTAGGTATATAACTTAAATTAGGAAGACTGACATAATTGTTTTTACCAGACCGGAAATGACTGCCATACTTATGAATTTTAAATGGCACCCTCGGTATATTTCTACTTTATTCGCTGGAAAATGACACTCGGAATAGAATGACATATCATATGTCACCTTTTTACATTTTCACTTAAAGACAAATCGTATTTTAAATTTAAATCTAGAGTGCCATGGCTGTGTTAAAAACACTAATTTTTAATCAAGGAGCCTTGGATCGTCTATGTTTTCCGTATCTTGTCCTGGGGCGCTATTCTGTACAATCGTCGGTATCGGCAAGTTACCGACAGCTGTCGGTACGTACGGCCAATGAGCGTCGTGTTAATTGTTGTTGTTATAGTTACCGATCGGCCCTATGACAGATATCGCAAATTTGTACCGACGACTCTCGGTATCTCTACCGTGAGGTTGACAAGGGCACGGTAGAGATACCTATTTTCGTCGGTACAAATTTGCGATATCTGTCATAGGACCGATCGGTAACTATAACAACAACAATTAACACGACGCTCATTTTACAGAATAGCGCCCCTGGGGTTATAGTTATCGATCGGTCCTATGACAGATATCGCAAATTTGTACCGACGAGGATCGGTATCTCTACCGTGCCCTTGTTAACCCCACGGTAGAGATACCGATAGTCGTCGGTACAAATTTGCTACATGTCCTATTAATGACAGCTCAAAACTATGACAACAACCATTTACACGACGCTCATTGACCGTACGTACCGATAGCTGTCGGTAACTTACCGATACCGACGATTGTACAGAATAGCGCCCCTTGGCCGGTTAAAAGATGTTCAAATCGTATTGTTTCAAAAAATTGGATTGTTTCCTTAAATGTATACAGGGGTATCAAAAATTGCTGGTCTATTTTAATTATTTACTTTACATAAAAGCTTCATCAATTCAAATGCACACTCGTACTTTTTTAAAAAAGTTGAAGCATATATAAATGCTCTTTCAAACTGTATATTAAGGGTTTCCTATACCTATCTGGCTCAGATTATGAATAAAGAGCGATTTTTCAATAAAATGGCAAGCAAGTCGTCATGGCATTTTTGTAGTGACAATCGTCATTGCTATTTTCAAAATCGTAATTAGTTTATGAACATTATTTAAATGTATAGCAGTTTACTTTTATTTAATTTACCTACAGTACCCAAGCAGCATTTGGACGTCGGGACAATGTTGTGTCACGCGAACAAACGTCGGGGCGCAACGTCGGCACAACCTCGTGCCAACCCTAGTCTGCACTAGTTTGGAGAATAATTTTTGGGTCGAAACGACGTTGGATACCGACGTTGGCTAGCACCCTAATTTAGTACAAACTGCAACGTTGTTTAAAATCCTAATTCACAAAAATACAAAACTAATATGGCGTCTAAGTAGCGTTTTATCCTAAATTGGGATAATTATAGTAAAAATATTATTTTTATGATTTAGTTAGAGACTTATGTCAGATGGCAGTGAAGGAAAACAAAACAAAAGTATTTAAGTGTGGAGGATGTTTGAAGATCATAATTATTGAAACACTTTAACCGACTCTGTAACTCGTTACCCAAGGCAAAAAAGTTAAACGCAAACAACTTTATTGATAAATGTATTGCTTCTACTTTGAAAAATACTAATGGGCCTTAAAATTAAAGAAGTTTTAAAAATTTTCTTGATTTTTTTTTAGTAAAATGAGAATAATTTATTCGCAGTCGAAAAAATTGTTTCCGTGTGTTTTTTAGGGTCAAATATTTCAAGTTAATGTATTCAAAAAGCAGGAATAGCTATTTTAAGAACGAAACATTTTCTTATTTAACAACATGGCGGTTTTCACTTTGTTGTTTTGGAGATTAAGATGGAGTAGTTCGAGTAGTCGCATACTGGACTAATAAAGTCGCAGTTCGGCCTTAACAGGTAGTATACTAGTCGCAAGATTGCCTAATTTAGTCATCCTAGAGTCTAGCTTGTGCCGCCCTCTATAATCTAAATAAACGAGGTAGTGGATAAACTATCGGTAATATATATATATCGATGTATATTTAAATTTAGTTTTATATGTACCTTTCTTATGTCCCATTTTAATTAAGTTTTTTTTTATAAAAACAAAAACAGCACTGAACTGTCTGACTGAACAGAACAATGAAGTGAAAATTTAAGATTTAAGGTTATGGTTTAAAACAGTTGCAAAAAGGTTGTGACTCGACGTCCTACCAACGTAAGAATAAGGAAATCTAAACAACGTTGGAATTAGTAAAACAGACGACGTTTGCATAACGTTGGAATAGGGATAATATAAAATAATATATAAACTAACGGATAATAAATAAACTGACGTCGAAAAACTCTATATTGTCCAACGTTGTAACTACGTTGTCCGAATCACCTAAAGATCACTTAAGCAAAAAAGGTTACAAGACAACGTTTATTCCACGTCGCAGAAGCTTCTACTTTGCTGTAGTACTACTCCAACGTCGGCACAACGTTATAAAAACGTTTAAATTTATTTTAATACCCAAGGTAGGGAGCTAACTATTTTTTGTAACTAATCCAACGTTGTGTTTAGTAAACATGTGGTCGCAAGTCGTGAAAATGCTACTTGGGTAGTTTAATAAATAAATATTTATTAGTTTATCAAGGAAAACGAAGAATCTTTGCTATTATATTTTACAATGACTTGTTTTGTTTTGTTAGATATATTGGATTTTCTTTAAAAGAGAGTGCTGTTATGGCAAATTCAGTTTCTAGTTCAGTCATTGAGGATTTTTGCTTGGAAAAAAGTCCTGAAGTTTTGCAACTTTGCAGGTTTATAGGTTTTGGGGTCCCTAACTAAAATCCATAAAATGCACATTTCTAGACTGCCGCCGGCGCCGCCATCTTGCCAAGATGGCGCCCAAAATCGGTATTTTGTGAATATCTCGAAAACTATGCGTTTTTCTCGAAAATTTGTAGAGAGCAAAATTAAAGAGAACAAGGTTAGGGATACCGATTTTGGGCGCCATCTTGGCAAGATGGCGGCGCCGGCGGCAAGTCTGGAAATGTGCATTTTACGGATTTTAGTTAGGGACCCCAAAACCTATAAACCTGCAAAGTTGCAAAACTTCCGGACTTTTTTCCAAGCAGGCTTTTTTGATCCCCAATGACTGAACTATTCTTCAAACACTTCTAACGAGATATTTCTGCCTGACATATTTTTCATAAACCGCACTATCGGCATTAGCTCGGCAAAATAGGACAAGTAGTTTTTCCAAGGAACGCTTATCAGGAGGATTCCTATTTGGATATCTTGGAACATAAACCCTTCAGGCCAACAAGTTTCCTCACAAAATAAAATCATTATAGTAACATATCCATTTCTTCCGCCAGCAGATACTGCTTCATGTTTCTTGATAAAAAAATATTTGCTTATTAAACTATTGTCGGCTAATTAAATAAAAGTATAACAACTGTTATAAAATTAAATAAAGTCCCTAAATTATGGTCAATTTTAAAAATAGCTACTAACTGTCACTAGAAAATTACTATGGCGATACCAGCCATCTTGACTGCCATTTTATTAAAAATCACTTTCTATTCAAAATCTGAGCCAGATAGGTACAGGTACAAGAATTAATTCTGAAAAGTAATGTAAAATGGTGTTGATAATCGTTTCTGTTATAGCATACATAATATTTAAATATTTCAAAAACTAAAAGTTTTTAAACATATTATTTAACTCTTATAATAAATGCCTTTTCTAGGTCCAATAATCCAAAAATGAGATAAAATACCGGGTGTTCCATAAAAAAATATAACTTTGTATGAATCGTAGTCTGAAACACCCTGTATATTTCCAAAAAATGTTAAATTATGCAGATTGCCTCCCCACATATTCCTTAAAAAACTTAATGTTTCTACATCTTTCCGTTTTCCTATAATCTATGCGCCATATCTTGTATATGGCACTCGATAATCTCGATATTGCATAATCTACCGGGTGCGTCTCAAAAGTGGCTCACTCCTATAACTTTTTTATTTCTTCAGATGAAAAAACGATATTTGTTATGCTAGTACCGTATAATCGAATAAAAATGGCGTCAGCGATGGCTATGAAATGACGATCGATGATATTTCCCATATAATTTTACATATAAAATGACAGCAATCTTCATTTCATAGCCATCGCTGACGCCGTTTTTATTCGATCATACGGTATATGACATAAATTAGGATTAATTAACGCATTCAATTGTTTTTGGTCACTTCCTGTTTCACCGGAAATGACTGCAACTTTTGATTTTTAAATGAGCTCTCGGTATATTTCTACTTTATTCGATAGAAAATAACACTCTAAATGGAATGACATATCATATGTCAACTTTTGACATTTTCGTATATGGTTTAATTGAAATTGTAACATGCGGTTCACAACTACTATTAATTTGATTCGAAATACCAAGTGTGTGGCACCAAATTATTCGTAAAAAAACATGGTAATGGACCACACCCTTGTTCCATTTGAAAAAATTGAGATATGTTAAAAATACGATTAGGGCATGTTTTAACCGGCCAGGACAAAATACGAAAAACATTAAACGATCAAATCTATCTTTCCAAAGCTCTTTGATTAAAAATTAGTGTCTTTAACACAGCCATGGCACTCTAGATTGAAATTTAAAATACCATATTTTTATAAGCGAAAAAGTTGACATGTGATATGTCATTCTACTCAGAGTGTCATTTTCTATCGAATAAAGTAGAAATATACTGAGGGTGCCATTTAAAAATCAAAAGTTGTAGTCATTTCCGGTGAAACAGGAAGTGACCAAAAACAATCAATCCTAATTTATGTCATATACCGTTTGATCGAATAAAAACGGCGTCAGCGATGGCTATGAAATGAAGATTGCTGTCATTTTATCAATACATTAGCCAATCCTAATTTATGCCATATACTAACATACCAAATATCGTTTTTTTTCTGGAAAATAAAAAGTTATAGGGGTGAGCCACTTTCGAGACGCACCCGGTATTTCACTCGATATGCACAATATATTTTATCACATAAAATATTTTATTTAATTCTTACTCTACTACAAGTGGATACTTACTGTTTAAAGACCTCCGTCAGAATATCCTGCTCGGTTTTTCTCGCGTTCTCTGCATTATTTACATTCACCAAATATTCATTTTTATCTTCGGACGGCTCTACCGCTTTATCCGAATTGAAGTTGCTGTTTTTTATCCGTATTTCAAAAGTATCCTCGAGCCGCTGATTTCCTTGCAGAGAATTTGTCAGCTCCAAGTTGGGCTTCAATGGCACTGTCAACATCCATATCATAACCATAAACAGGACGTAGCATAAGATAGGCACTGTGTAGGACCAGCGTAGGATTTTCCACAGGTTTGACGTTTTAAGTGACATTTTCCTATACGATACGATTTTAATAAGGACATTATTTCAATCGGTTTAGAGTTTTCCAGCTGTAATATGTATCACACTTGTTTAACGACAACATACTTATTATTGAACAGCGTACAAGTACAGGCAAGGTTTCGGTCAGAACTTTCTCTTTTAAATCTTTCCTATTATACCTATGCGTTTCATTTCGTACTAATTCAGATGTGAGATTTATCAAATCTTAAAAAAGCAGATTTATTTTGCTTACATCGTTTAGCTGAAATGTGAACAATTTCTCTCTGATGTGAAAAATCAATAGTTTCTGCGCATGAAAGAGGCGCTTTATAATCCGTTAAACCAACGATTTAATGTAGATTACGTAAATATAAACGACTGAAGATAATTTAAATTACTTTTTGGACAACATTTTGATTATAAGTAGTGATGGGAAAAACATTGGGAAAAACTGATTAATTTCAATAATCGAGTACTTGACTTTTCAAGCGACTTCAATAATCGAGCGATCGCTCGAGCGAAATATCGGTCGTATTTAAAAATACGGTTTTTCGCCCGTTGCTTGTTCATTAGCGTAACTAGCGATTTATCCTGGTGTGGGCCGGGGGGGGGTTGAGCCCAGGGGGGGCCTAGGGCCTTTGCTTTCTTAAAAATAAAAAATAATTTTAAAAAACACATTTATTTGAATAAAACGTTTACATGTATTTCTCTATCAATAAATTTCATAGACTTGGTTATCAAATCGTGTTCCCGTAGATTACTTAAATACCTACAAATTTTCTAAAAAAATAAAAATTAACACATTTTTTGAACACAACAAAATAATATTAACTAAACATAACTAGAAATCGTCATTCTGACTGCATCACAAGCAAATAAAAATTAATACGTAGCCAAGAGTCATAATTCAGGATTTCTCTAGGGGGTGCCCAGCAGTACCTGGAGGGGGGCCCGGCACCCCTATAGTTACGCCAATGCGCTTGTTGTAGGTACTCTTAAAGGTACATTCAGGCTAAGAGCGTCGCGTCCGGTCGTTCAGGCTGGGAGCGTCAGCGCAGCGTCATTTGAGCTTGTTCTTTAGGTTTTCAGTTTGTAAAATGGCTTCAAGGAGGGCAGTTTGTCTAATGTTACTATCGGAAACACCATATTTTACATTCAAAAGAATGGACAAAAACTAGGAATTCGCCCTATAAACAGAAGACGATATCTGCATGGAGAATTTCATCATTTATATCTTGAATTTCGAAAGCTCCCATATATTTACTCGTACTGTGAAAAAATACTTACTAGAAATACCTAGAATTGTAACTATTTCTTCAAGTAGTCGATCATGCAAATTTATATTTTTATATTGAGGCAATTTTGCATTCCGCACAGTGCAGGTCTTGCCTGTATTTCGGTGATTAGCACCTCTGCGTGCTGGTCCTCAGACGCCATGACAACCACTGAACGCTAGAAATCTCGCCGAAAAACAATTCAGATTGAACTCGACGCTTGACGCTCAGAGGACGCTAGCGCAACGCCGAACGCGACGCTTTCTGCCTGAACGGTCTAATTTAAGTTAAGGGAATTGATTCCATTTCGTGGCGACGCGACGCTCGGCGCTCTCAGCCTGAATGTACCTTAACGCCAAGCAGTAATAATTTGAGTGCGCAGAGCACATATTCTTTCGGTGATAAATGGCAGGTAGTAATTCGCTTGATTTTGTTTATTTCAAAGCATTGTCGATGTAGGTCGTAAAATTTTGTCGCTAAGATACGCGAGCGAATTTTCGCTCGAGTTATCCCATCACTAAAAATATTTTAGAAAGATGGAGCAGGTGTCTTTATATAAAAATCCAAATTTTCAAAAAAATTCTATCACAGGTTCTCTATAAACGTCTAACGGGCCGTCGCCGTGAATCACTCTATATATACCTACAGGGTGCTGAAAAATTCGAGACGTACGAGCATTGGTATCTCGGTAACTGTAATAGATAGGAAGATGGTGAAATTGGAGCAAAGTTGCGCTTTCGCATGTTCATTAAGATGCCATCAAAAAAGTTTCAAAAATCTTAAGGATTGCTGAGTTTTTTGAGAAAAATTATTACTTGGCGTAATTTGTAAAAGTGAAATCAATACATTTCAACATTTACAATAAAGAGTGCAAAATGCATTCGGAAGTATAAGAAGATATTTTATATTCAATAAAAAGGTATAAATAAGATCGAACAAAAAATAAATTTGTGCATTAGGGAGGCGTGGTACCCCTTTCGATCATGTAGAGCATTAGAAACTAGTTTCTAGATGTTGATTTATTTATAATAACTACGATTAATATTATACATATTATAAGATCGCACAATGAAATTTAAAATTCACTATAAAAAAAGTTAAAAGTAATATCTCTAAATTACTGACCTGGATATTATTTATTTAAATATTCCTTATTAAATATTAATTAGCGCTGATCAATATTGTTGCGATGAATATACAGGGTGATTCAGATTTTACTAGAATAACTTCAGGTATCGATAGAACTAACCGAAATAATGATAGTTTGTATTATAAACCATACTCCAAAACGCTTCCGCTTGGAATAAAATGGCGCTGAAATTTGAATTATTTTTCATATGGCATGCTGCTAATTAAGTAACCTTAGACAAGGAAAGAGAGGGGACAGGTAACACGGCAGCTGAAAGAGAGGCCACTTGTCACCATGCGAAATTCTCCAATGGCGTAGCATAAGAAATTAGCTTGTACCTAGACGATAAAAAATATTTATTTAAACGTTAACTAATATATCGTTTATTTTTGAGTAATGCATATACAATGTTGTATTTTATAGTCTCACCTTTATAATATTAGAATATCTAAGCCGATAATGCAAAATTTATTTAACAGTCACAGTGAACTGATCAGCAAGACAATTATTTATTTATTAACGTGTGTATAATGTATAATTAAATAAAAAATAATGTAAATATATATGTTTTTAACGTGTATATACATATATACCGTATGATCGAAAAATTACGGCATCCTGTTTGTTTGGAAATGACGATCGATAATGACATTCCCCATACATATAAAATGACATAAAAACTATATAAAATGACATCGAAAAAAGACTGAGAGGAATGTCATCGACAGTCATTTACAAGCCAACTGGACGCCGTTTTTTTTTCGATCATACGGTATAATAATGAATCTAGGCAATCCCCTTCACACTTGCCTACGGATTCAATGAATAATGTAATTTTTAATATTTGTTATCTTCAATCATAAGAATATCCGAATTTTCCGCAAAAAAAACAATTCTAGAAGCTTTGTGTTATTTTATTTATTTATTTTTAAATTTTTATTAATTACTCACTGAGACTATTATTATACACCTAAACTAGCAAATTTTTTGAAAGGATATTTAAAAAAATATTGTAACAAGTACCCCACCAGAAGTTTGTCCACCCCCAGCAAATCTTGGCAGGTAAATTTAAGTTTTATGTAACAACTATATACATATTGATTTTTATATCCAAAATTTTTCATGTTTTTTTTCTAGTTTACAATTATTATTTTACATATTTGATAATAATACTTTATACATTTTTTACATGTAAAATATATAGAAAAATGTTTATTGCAGAAATTGTATTTCTCTGATTATAATTCCCTACGCCACTGGAGAAATCCATGCTGAGTAGCATTATTTATAGTTTCAAACATTAATTATAATACAGGATATTGAAAATACTACTTGGAATTATTAAAAATAGTTTGGTTTGGATGTAGTACAAAACATATTAAAAGCATTTTACATATTTTTACTGCTAAAATGAAAAATATATCCATTTTATGACTACATAGCACAAGTTGTGTATCAACTTTTACCTGTAAAATGTAATTCCAGTCATTTTTTTCTCGCTTCAGCCTTTGCAGCCATACGCCGAACATCTCACCATACTAAACAACACAGTTTATAAATTTAAAACAAAACAGTATTCACAAAAAACTTAAAAATTCGCTTGGTGTCACCTCTAAATCTTGTCACCAAAGTATGGCCGCCGATCAAATTTTGGCCTCAAAAAATTTTCACTGGAGAATATGCGTGTTAGCTGTCCCCTCTCTTTCCTTGTCTAAGTAAGTAACATTTTTCGAACGCAGCTGAGCTATGTCCGGAATTTTGTGAAATATCTCGAAAACTAAGCGACATATCAAAAAAAATTAAGAACAAGAAAAGATAGTAAAAAGACAGAAGGTATCAGAAAAAAATACAAATTAATCCAGTGGCGTGCGACAAAAAAGTTCGACAAGGTTCCGTGCAGTTGACACTCACAAAAACAACACCCTGTATAGCAATTAAGCCAATTTTTTTCAAACATATCAGCGACGTTGCCCTTAGCATTTAAACAAACACTTGCGTATTTAGATCCACTGGCTTACGAGTAATAAAATAAAAACCGAAAAATAATTCAAATTTTAGCGCCATTTTACTCCAAACCAAAGCGTTTTTGGAGTATGGTTTATAATACAAACTATCAATATTTCGGTTAGTTCTATCGATACCTGCAGTTATTCTAGTAAAATATGAATCACCCTGTATAATCAGATTAAATAATTAAAAAGAACAGAGTCGGACTGAAAATTATTTTAAATAATAATTAAATAGTTTTGTTGTTGTTAACGTACCCAAAACACAAAAATATAAGGTGTGGCATATCATTATACTCAGGAGACCGAGTTCTTTCAAGACCTCAAATAAAAATGCAGGTCCGTATTTAAAAAAAAATAAGTTGGCCCCTGTATCTCACAAATTATGAGCTAATTTCAAAATATAAAAATACTAGCAGATAGCCCTAATAAAGTGGCTATATGAGAATGTGCAATTAGTTTTTTGATTTTCTAACAAAGAAACGACAGGAAAAAATAAAATTAATTTTCAAAAAAATCCGTTTTTTTTGCAAAAAACTCAGCAATCCTTAAAAAAATTTAAACTTTTTGATGGCATCTTGGTAAACATCTGAAAGCGCCACTTTGCCCCAATTTAACCATCTTTATATCTATTACGGTTATCGAGATACCAATGCTCGTACCTCGAATTTGTAGCGCCCTGTATATCAACTATTTTTGTCCATTAGAAAGCATCAATCAAAAAGAAACCCGAACGTTTATTAATTAAAATTCATGAAACTTATTGTCAAATATCATTTTTGTGATACTATAATATAAAATTCCATATTTCCCAAACTAGATTATTAGCGCATACTAGATTTTATGCGCCTACATAGCTGGCGCGACAAGAAACATTTTTTGTAAGTCAGCTTCAGAATTCAGAAAAAAACATTTATTCTCTTAAAAAAGTATGCGCGGTGGCGTTTTTTACTAGACACAAAAATATATATATATATAATATATTTCTACTAAAATTTATGTAGGGTGGGGGTACATTTCACCGTTCCCATAGTTCTTCTGATTTTTGTAAAAGTCAAATGTTAAAGCACTTTGCAAAATATATGCACCCCAAATCTCATTCAACTCGGAATAATGGTTAATAAAATATATCTTAAAAAATTTGTTTATTTTTTTAAAAAGTTTGGTAACAACTTTAAACAGATAAACGAAGCACTTTTGTTTAGGTAATTTTATGTCCAATGAACTTATTTTAACTCCAATAAATAAATTTTTAAGGTCGCGGGGATTAACCCTCCTTCCACTAATTTTGCATTTTACAAGGTGGTCCGAACTGTATTCCGGAAACTTCGGCAGCATGTTCTGCTGATAAAAATAAGTAAAAAAGTTCGTATAATATGTCCTAAAATGTGTAGTTTCGGAGATACAGGGTGTACAAATTTCATTAGTAAGGTCAATATTTGGATGAAAATTGGTGTCTGGGAGTTTTGACGCGAGAAATTTGATTTTGATGTCAATATGACTCTTATTTGTAGGGGGCGCCACCTACATGTGTTTTAACTGTTTTGAAGAGTAATAACTTTTCGTCCGTACCTGTATAAAAGTACTGAGTGAAAAAATATACATTTCCGTGACTTTTTACGTAAAAATGTTTCTTGGTAAAAATCCCTACAAGTAACTGTTTTCAAGATATTTAGAATGGAAATAGTCAATACATGTCTTTATTGACAAAAAATAAACACGTTGAGTAGATAGTTATTTGACTGAAATAATAATAAGTTTATACAACAGTACGGAAATTTTAAATTTTTTAAATTTAATCATAAATTTTTCTGCAAAGAAATGATAAAACAGTTTCTGTTGAACTTTTGGCACAAAAACATTTCAATTTTATGATTTCAATCTAATAACTATTTAGTCAACATGTCAATGATTACAGGTAGTGTACTAGTAGCGATTTAAACCAAGAGACCTTTTTTATGTAAAAAACGTCGCAAATGTATATTTTTTACTCACTAATAGTTTTATACAGGTACAGAAGAAAAAGTTATTACTCTTCAAACTAATTTAAACATATATAAAATTTCTCATGTTAAAAAACCCCTAGACGCCAATTTTCATCCAAATATTGACGTTACCCCAGAAATTATTTGCAAAAAAATTGAAATAAAAATGAAATTTCTACACTCTGTATCTTCGAAACTAAGCATTTTAGGATATACATTTATACGAACTTTGTTACATATTTTTATCTCCAGAATATGCTGCCGAAGTTTCCGGAATACAATTCGGACTACCCTGTATATTAACTCCAAAAATACATAGTAGTTCTGTCTACAGAATATTGGGACACCCTGTAGCAAGAATTTTTTATTGGCATACAGGGTCTGGCGAGAATGCGGCTTGGTTCCTACAATAAATAACTTACAAATTCTGTATAGATGTCCGAAGCACCATATATACTACCCTGTATACCAATAACAAATGTTTGTCAAGTAGGTACACGAGTTGTGAGAATGCGCCATTATAGTAACTTTGTAACATTAACCATACAATATAAACAATTATTTACTCATATAAGTTTAATGTATGTTTTTATTCTTTTAATAGAATCACTTTTTTATATTTGCAGCAGATAATATTGTTACACCTAAATACATTTTTTCTTTTTTTTTCTTAATGAGGTAATTAGTTAAATAAAATTAAATTGAAGACTATACAAAGTTATGTATAATTTAATAAAATAAAGTAATACAAAATAAATATTCTGAGAGTGTTCATTGACCCTAATCAAGTTACAAAAAAATAAAAAGTAACAAAAAGAATTCTTAAAATTTACAGCTTTTTACTTAATATATGTACCTTATTTACATCATTTCGGCTTAACAAAAATTATTTAATATATTATGTCTTTTTAGAACAATAAAGTTATTTTTTAACATTGTTACTTTTTCTTTCTATCTTGAGTACATTTTGGACAGTACCATTTGCCTTTAGGTTTTGTGGTGAGCCCTACACAAGCAAAGTGGAACCATTCAATTGGACACTAAAAATAAATGGAGAAAGTAATTAATTATGAAACATGAGAGCCTCTAATAAAATATAATAATTAATCTACCTCTTGCATCTACTAAAAGGCAAACTAAAACATTAATTCACCATAATACACCAAAACACTATTACTTGTTTACTGGACGTGCCGAAACCAAAGAATATTATAGTTAATTATAGTTAATAGAAAACCCATCCCGTGTAAAATTTTTGGAACCAAAAAGGAGCCCGGCTTTTTGAGCCGGGGTCCATCGAGGCGCCGCAACGTTAAAAAGCGATTCCTTCCTTGTCTATGTTGCCAAATCGTACGCCAAATGCTACCGGCACACGCGACGGCCCAACGGCGATCATCAAAGCCTTCCGTATTCCCCCGCACCTCGTTGTAAAGGCTTCGTGGTGTGCTCATTTTTCATATTTTGAATTGTGGATTTTGCTTTATTATTTTGAATTATTATATTTTGATTTAAGTTTTCGTGTATTAAAAATATGTCGGACAATGTATGTCAATATTACGATTGCAGACTATCAAGGAGGGACAATCCTTATTTAAAAATGTTTAAGTTCCCTTATAAAAATCGAAGTATATGCGAACGTTGGATTTTATATTCGGGTAAGCAGAGGCGTGACTGAATATTATGCTGGATATCTTCTAAAAAAAATGCAAGATAAGTTTAATTGTTTAGAGTGCAGTTCAAAATTTCACAACCAAGACCTTATTGCTCATCAACTTGATCCAAAAAAAACTTTTTACTGAACAAAAATTATGAGGTGGACAGACTTTTCCTAATTGTGCCATGTACAGAAATTTCGGACTAAGTCCAAAAGATGTTTATTTTGTCGAAAAAATATTTTAATGAATATAAAGAACAAGAATATTTAGGTCTTAAAATAAAAAAACAAAATTATTGCGAAAAGTGAGATTTCGATTTGGTTAGGTAGTAAGGAAAAAAACATGCTACCCACACAAACTTTTTTTAATGAATTATTTAATTATTACTAATATCTTCAAATTTTGCAAATGGGAAGAAGTTAAAAAAATGACAAACAAAAACTAAAAAATTTAAAAAATAAGTAGAATTTTAGCATATCTACCCTACAGAAATAACAATTTTACTAGTTCATTTGAGCCCGTTAATGAGATATTTTAGGGCCTTTTTTGTGATGGTTCTGCTTTACAATCTAGATCCGCCTCATCTGAGGATGCGAAACAATTCATCCCAAAAAAATTGATTTTAGTTACTTGTTGCAAAAAATTCCCTTTTTACTATTTACACTGTTACCGCCAAATCTTGTTTATTATGGAAAATTAGATTGTCATATTTGTGATTTGTTTAGTAAAATAAAATTATTTAATTTGTTGGCATAAATTTTAGAATAATTGTAGATTTCGTTTTTAGATACCTAACTTAACCGGTAATTACTTGTTGTCTGATGTAAATAATGTACAGTATTAGCATTTTATTTTGTCCCATTTTTGCCAGGCTATAACTTTTCTATTTTTGTATAGAACATTCATTAAAAAACAAATTTTAGGGTCTTCAGTCAAGTTTTATTGTTTATTATAATCAATAATGCCATAAGTTGCCAAATGTCACCGTTATTGGTATGAACTATTTTTTTTTAAATGGGACACCCAGTATGTTTAAAGTGTATTTATACAGAGTGTTTCAAAACACATGTGCCATCTCTCGTGGGGAGACTTCTCAAGTAAAAATAAGATTAATTTTTCATATCAACATAGGTCCAATTCTGCTTTGTTTCGTAGCTACAGGGTGTTAAAGTCTTAATATTTTTTCGATTTATTATAATTTTCTTATATTATTTCTTTCCATGTACTTTTTGGCGTTTTGAATGAAATTTTCAGCGTAAAATTTACTATAAATGCGACATATTTTAAAGCCAAAAAAGACACATTCACCAGGGACGTGCATATGGGTTATCACTGGAATATTTTCTTAAAAAATCATGTACGCCACTGACTTTTTTTTCTCTTGTTAGCGAAATAGTGTAGTAGTTTGATGCCGATTGTCTCTTGATGATGCCCTTGTCTCTTGATATTTTGTCTCCTTGATGAGATAAACGCAAAACGATATCCTCATTAAAAAATATGAAAAAAAGTTCCTATAAACATGGGTATGGAAATGCATAGTTTTAGAGTTACAGGATGTTAAAATTTTTTAAAATTAGGTTTTTTGTTGTTATCTTAATAACCAATATTTTTTTATTTGAAATTGCTGTATGTTGGATTAGTTTGATGTATTATTACTAGTAGAATAATGACATAGTAATAATATTTAACAATAAATTAGGTAAAGATATAATTTATTAATTTTTTATTTTTATATTATTTTTATTAATTATTGTGATTAATAAAATTGCGTTTATCTCATTAAGGAGGCCGAATTGGACAAAATATCAAGAGATGCCTTTTAATTGGCATTAAATGGCATACACAGTTTTGATATCAAAAAAAAAAGTAAGATGCGCACATGTTTTTTGCACGTCCCTGATGAATTTATTGACGCTTTTTTAGCATTAAAATATGTAACATTTATAGTAACTTTTACCCCAAAAATTTAATTGAAATCACTAAAAGTACTTGGAAGAAAATTATAATAAATCGAAAGATTAAGACTTTAACACCCAGTAGCTACGAAACAAAGCAGAATCCGACCTATGTTGATAAGAAAAATAAGTCTTATTTTTATGTGAGGAATCTCGCCTCACAAGAGAAGGTACATCTTTTTTGAAACATCCTGTATAGTACATTTTTATTCTGTTATAAAAATTAAATGTATCACACATGTTCTTTCTTTTAACAGTTTTATCGAAATTCGAAAAAATTATAAACCAATGTTAATATATGTAATTTGTTTCAAGTTCGGTAGTTTTTAAAGGGACACCCTGTATATTTTTTTATTTTATTTTTATAAAAATAAATATAGATTACCTAAATTATATTTTTAGAAATCCCATAGGAATTCAAATCAAACGAAAAAATAATAAAATACTAAATAGTGAAAACCCCATCTTTGTACCTCTACTCATAAATGAGAAACTCTGTAAAACACACGAAAATGGGACACTCTGTATATACTATAAATATCAAAATGAAAAATACATAAACTTTTTTCTCCTCTATAAGTCAATATATTTAAAACTTCTTTTCATTTAACTAATTTTTAGATTTGACTCGACAAATTTTTATTTTGTTTCTTTGATTGTCAAATGTTGTTATGTAGCTTTTTGTAAAAATGAGTGTTATCTATTAAAATATGTTTAGTTTTAGTTTTTTTTTATTTCAAGTAACTTGTATCAAATTTCCAAAAAAATTCTAAAGATAAATGCTAAATTCAATATAATTTTCTATCTAAATAGATGTCTTCTAAAATACAGTTATTGGCAACGCCGCGTCTCCTTCACGCGGGTTTCCGCACGAAATATTAAAGTTTACGTGTGCATTGATGTCTTTTGGCCGGTTCCAGCCGTCCCATGTACATGGGTTATCTATTCGTAGTAGAATTATCTTTGCCGAAACTCAGTTTTAAACATCTGCTGATGATGCTAATATGGTTAGCAAAACAGGTGTACAGTGTAAAAGTATTTTGGTGGATTGTGGTGAGTTAGTGTTATATTTTGCTGTTGTAACACCAAAGGTTCAAACTCCCAACTGTAATCTAAACATTTATGTTGAGCTAAAATATAATAAATTAGGCTTACATCAGGATTATCACATCCTATCATTTCTCCATATGATACTTGATGACATAAACAGTAGGTGGGTTCATTTGGATCAACAGGCATGTCTAGAACGTCACTGGGATGGGTAATACCAGCCAGACCTGGTAAAACGGCCGCAACTGCCTCAGCAACTATAATTGAATAATGTTAATAATTTTTTAGACTGTTTAATAAAAAAAAAAAATAATATTAGTAAATGAAAAATGATATCAAAAATATAGTTAGTAATCAGTACCTACTACTTAATTTATATATAACAAACAATGTTGAATAAAATATAATTATAAGTAAATGAGATAACATTCTATTTTATTGTTACCTGGCATCTACAGTTGTATTAAAATTTGTTGTTTTATATTTTTTTCAACACCATGTAATTTTTATGGAATGATACACTTCCTGTGTACTGATTTAACACAAATATTTCCACAAATGAATATGAAAGATGATAAAATGATACGAACCCTCACCTGACGTCGCTTTTGCACCACTACCTGTATTGCCTCCCTTATCGACACCTGTTCCTTTTTGCTTCTTCTTTTTATTGCCTCGTACTGTTCCAGAAGAATCTTCCTCGCTGGAATTTCCAGATCTTTTTTTCTTATCGCTTTTTCCATCTTTCACTTTCTTTCGTCCTTCTGTAAGTATATTTTAATATTATATACAATATATTATCATCTAGAAACATTGTAGGTCATATACGTACTTTTACCTATAGAAGGCTCTTCTTGATTTCTAGAGTTTAGGGCTTTATCTTGAATTTCTGACTCAAATCTTGCTAAATCATTATCAAGTCGACGAATATGTTTATCAACCAGTTCATAAGTTTGTATGGCCAACTGTACTTTATCATCTCCCAATTCCTACGATATACCAAATGTATTGTGGCAATTTGTATTACATACGTTCTTACCTTCGCCTTGTTAAACATATTTTGAATTTTATCCAATTGCTCTTTCTTCTGATCACTAGTTATTGTTTTTATGTTTCGTAAATATTCATCAGCAAGAGCATCTATATTTTTCATCAGTCCCTGAGCTCTTTTATCTAAATCACTCATTAAAGTAAAATTACGCTGCAACTCATTGGGCAAGTTTTCCAAGCCTAAAAAATACCAGTTATTACCTATTCTTAAAATATTTTTGGAAAGGAATTACTATCTAGATAGTGTTCCAGATATAATGCTGAAGTCATTTTGAAATGCAACTAAACATAAAATATACTTATGTTTTAAAAATGAACAAAAACTCAAATACTAAATGATCTTGAATCTGTTTAAAACAACGCATAATTAGAAAGTTTACATATCTCTATAAACAATTATTTGAGGTTGACATTTGACATTTTGACATGCATTTGACTTGACAACTGACAACTTATTTGACATCAGTGTCGCCAATAGTTTAGCGTAAAGGAGCGTAAAGCCCCGTTCTCAGAACTGCGTCGTGTCGACAGCGACACTGATTGACACTTCAAACGACCAATGGGAGCTGTACTAAATTTAAAATTGACAGCTGTTTGAATTTTGTACAAATCTCCTTGGTCCTCTTGACGTGTCGCTGGCGACAGTCGCTGTTCTGAGAACGGGGCTTAAAGCCGGAGTCTCATGCATCCGAAATCCGATGGTACGACATCCGAAATTTGAAGTTATCGTGTGAAATAAAAAAAGCCTGTCACATACATCCGAAAGTTCGTTCCGAAATTTGACAGTTTTAACATTTTTCTGCTGCGCTGAATCAGTGCCTTCTATTAAAAGATCAGCCTACGGGCGAGATTTATGACGTCACGCTAGTTAGATATAACGGATTAATAAATATGTTGTAGAATACATGGAAAACATAATTATTCCTCAGATTTTTGGTTTGTATTTTAAAAATGATATAGTTTAAATGAAATATACATAATATACAGTTAATAACTACAACATATATACCTATTTATAGTAATAAATACTTTGGCAAATAAACTATGAACCATACAAATGCAGCAAATGTTTTACAATGTACAAATAATGTATAGGTACATAAGATAATGGGTAAAATGTAAATATATTTTAAATTTTGGGGTTAGAAAATCGATCTAATTTAACAAAAAACATTTAATATCTACTAATAGTGATGTATTATTATTTGCATTCACAAAATTTATATGTATATTTTGCAAGTATCAATGTTCGAAAAATTATATTTACAAATAATACAATATTAAAAAAATGGCGTCAGCGATGGCTATGAAATGAAGATCGCTGGAATTTTATATGTTAAATTATTCTAAAAATTTTGATTTTCTTGGGATTTTTAGGTTTGAAAAACGCTGATTAAGTTTTCATTTGTTTTCATTATTTTTTATTTTGTTAAAAAAAACGTTTCGGCTAACTATAGTTTTCACAGTGTTGTGTCATATGAGAAATAGTGTCGAATATAATCCAAAAAATTACATATACAATATAATTCACACCTCATAATGTTTACTGCAATTAATAAACTAATATAAACTTATCAAAAGATGACTACATATATTTTTTAAAATTATTATTCTTAACACTAAAATTATCTACATTGACTATGGAGTACGCAGTAAACATTATGTGCGTGGTGTGAATATTTTATATGCAATTTTTTGGATTATATTCGACACTATTTTTTTCATATGACACAACACTGATGGAGGCTATAATGTTAGCCGAACCTTTTTTTTAAACCAAATAAAAATAATGAAAAACCAAATGAAAAATCAATCAGCGTTTTTCCCGAACCTAAATTCGAAGAAAATCAAAAAATTTGGAATATTTAGAATCAAGGTTCAAGAATATCAAATTTTCCAAGATTGTAAAATTCTAGTTAATTATTTTATGTGTACAGTTATTTAGGGAATGTTATCGATGTTTATTTCCAAGCCAACTAGACGCCGATTTTTTTCGATGATACGGTATAATTCTTACGTAAAATGTAAATAACATTAGACCAATTAAAACAAAGAAATATGAATTTCTTAGTATTTTTAGTAACACCTTTATTCTTAAAACTTAATTTTGTATTATGCAAATATACCAATTTTATTGTTATTTTATTCATATTGTATTCAGCCATCACTTAAATATTTGATATTAATTTGGTATTATAAATAATCAATACTATTCATTAAAAAAATTACTGAACAAATATATGTTATGCTTAACATACATTATATATTATCAAACAAAAACACATTCTTTCTTTTAAACTGTATCAGTCTTGTCTTTACAAAAATCTTTTTAAAATTTGAACTCAAAATAATAATCTTTTTTCATGATCTCTAATACACATATTCTTTATTTTTCCCTAGATCATAATACCTACTTACGTGTTTGAATCTATCGAAGCTGAACCAACAACACTTGGAGTGGAGATTCCACAATATGAATAAAATAAACATAGTTGTCTAGTTTTCATTAATACCATCATGGGAGAATATTATTTTTAAATTTATTAAAGATATTTTCAATAGAATTCTCTTGATTTATAATTCGTACCCACTTTTCTTGCTCTTCCGGACACTTTAGGCTGCCTAATATAACTATCCTTTCCACCAGGAACACAACAAAGATGAAGCATAGCACCAAAAACACACTCCACTTAAGCTTTATTGATGAATTGTTAGAGTCTTAAAAAACACACACAAAAATCACGATAAGTAAAAAATGTATGGGCACTTTTAGGTTAAATCACTTACACAACGTGTAATTTTTCAATTTTTCTATTTTTTTATGCGAAACCGAGAGTTACCATATATCTGGTAGTAGTTTATGTCACTTCAACACCAAAATAATTAGTTTTTTGCACTACAATAATAAATAATACCAAAAATCAAAGAGTTAAAACCAAAAATCAACCGACAAAATATGAAACGGAATCTAACCCAATATCTAAGTATGTACAGCTGATGAAGTAAACAAAAGTCCGCCCGCAGGCTGATCTTTTAATAGAAGGCACTGGCTGAATAGGGATTCATGTCATGTTTTATTGGAGAAACACTTATCAAAATAACTTCCTCGCCAAATATTCCGAAATTGCCCACTTCCCACTAAACTTGTTTTTAAAAACAAATGTTTTCAAAAAAAGTGAGGTTAAAAAACACACGATATCGTACAAAAGTTAAACAAAATTTGGTAAAGGTGTGGATCCGGTGGCTGACCTTGAAGCCCATATTTGCTGTATTTGATCATCGATACTACGCAAGCGCACATCGTCGATGTTGCCAAATTGCAGTTTATTTTCGAATTATTTGCAGTTGAAAATTTTTTTGAGTGTTAATCTGGTGTTAATGAATAATAATACAAATTCTATAATTAATTTTATAATTTCAGATTTATCTTGATATCCATAATTAAGGTAAGAAGGACAATGAAGATTGTGAAATGAAAGTATTATGAATATATAAAATTGTAATAATAAATAATAACATTTATTTATATATTTACATTAGAATTAAAAATTATCATGTACGGATTTTTTCTTATGGTTTTAAACTTATTAGAATTATTTTATTTCTTTCAAGTTATTTAATTTCTAGTTATTTACAGGCAACAATAGTTTAGTATTTCAAAACATCAGTACATATGTACTGATGTTTTGAAATACTACCATGACGAGTCTTATAGAACAATACACGTCAATGGGAGATAGAGGCACAAAATAGAAATCAACCCTTAGTTGATTTCTATTTTGTGATAGAGGTAACATCTTACCTATAATGTTACTAATATAATATACTTTGATTGTAATGTTTGTATCGTAATTTCTTAAAAATATCAAGTTAGTGGATTAATAGCAATTTTAGACATATATTTTATCGAAGAGTGTGTTGATAAGACTAAAATAAGCTTTATGTTTTATGTTTTTCTCTTTAGAAAGGAGATGGTTTGTGTCGTAGAATACATTACAGTATTTAATATCGTGTACTTTGATATTCTTTTCTTAATTTACCGTAATTTCTTGTTTTCTATAATGCTAAATCTTGACAATATGGTGAAGGTTGAGTTTTGATATTATTAGTTTTATACCTGTGTTTATACAAGACCAAATTAAGATTAGTTTGTAATTAGTTTGTGATTTATATTAAGATCTTTTTTATAATATTTGTTATGTCTTCATCTTAATACTATATTATGCTTTGTCTGGAAAATAAATGTTAAAATATCTTAATTTTGCATATCCTATTCCATCCTTCCATTAGGAAAAATATGGTTTATAAATCATATTATGCTAAGAAAATCACATAAATTAGGTGTAAGAATAGAGAAATCTTAAGGTAGCAGCAAAATTAATGCAATATATGTATAAGCAGAATTAAACAAGATAACTGTATATGTTGCTGAAGCTGATTCAACAATTTTAATTACGGAGGCTATAAAAGGCCTTTTAAGGCCTCCGTAGTTTTGATGGAATGTTAAAAAAACCTATGAACATGACATGGAGCTACAGCATTTAAAAATTAAAAAAAAACAAAAAACTTGAACACATCCCTTTTAATTTCCCGAATTTTTAATAAAGCACTTTTTAAACGTAGCATAATAATCTAGACCAATTAGATTAATTATAGGAAACTAGAATTTTATTTCTATTTAATTTTATTGACTATGAAAATACATAATAAGCGTTCACGTTTCACGTGTTGTGCGAAATATTAAAATAATAATATCGTTGATTGAAGGAAATAACATTCACAGTTCTTTCAATCAACGATAATATAAAAAATAATATACCGCGCGTACTATGATTGAAAAAAATAGCGTCAGCGATGGCTATGAAATGAAGATCGCTGTCATTTTATATGGGAGATGTCCTCAATCGTCATTTCCCAGCCAACTGGACGCCGTTTTTTCGATAATACTGTATATATTGACTATAAAAAAAACACTGAAAAGCACATATTTGTTTTCTACTGAAAATAATTCCAAAATAACTTGGATTCTGGCAATATCGAAGATGTGCGCATGCGTAGTGTATGTGACTATATGCAGCAAAAACTCGTTTCAAGGTCAGCCACCGGATCCACACCATTACCCAAAATTTAACTTTATACGACGTCGGATGATTAGTTAAAATTATCGGATAAAAATTGTTGTCAAAATATTTCGACCAATAGGAGCACCATCGGATTTCGGATGCATGAGACTCCGGCTTAATGAAATCTAAATTTGCAAATTATTCCGTACTTATAGGTTATAGGCAACCAAGAATACCAGTTACTGCCGCCACAAAAATGGACTCTGCAGCTCTGTCAGCGGTGAGAATCGTATGAATATTGGATTAAACCTTCTTTTCAAAGGATTAAACCTTTAAACTATAAACTACCATAGGGGTTTTCGGAAACTGTGATCTGATTGA